ATATTAAAATTTACATTCATAACTTACCATCAATTTCATGACCATTTATATTCAAATTATTATTATCATTATTATTATTGGAAACTTTCTGTTCATTTTTAGACACTTTATTATCATTACAAAACTGAAATATAATAGAAACATTTTAAATAAACAAACAAGATATCAGATACAAATAGATAAATAAAATAATAAGAAGGCATAGAAAAGTGTATCATCATGAAATGGCCCCCTTTGAGATTTAATTATTCTTAGTGTAGTTGGTTCTATGAAATGATGAATAAGGATTGTTCATTTATAAGGAATGGAGATCAGTCGATAATTATTAGACTACCATTAGAAAACCTGGAAGCACTGAACGGTGGTTTCGTCCTGGTACGGGACTCATCAGTGTCAGTTCGCATCCACAACTTTTGTTACGCGCAAAAACCCTAGATTGATCAGAGTTAGACATTAACACCATAGGATGACGGCCTAGTGGCCTAGACGTTAGGCGTTCACGTACCAGCACTGAGGTCCTGGTTTCTGATCCTCCGAGCAGCAGGGGCCATGAATGCACACTGCTGATGAGTCCCATACTAGGACGAAACAGCCATCCAGTGCTTCCAGATTTTTAATGGTGGTCTAACAATGATTGATTGATGATTTCAAATGGGTAGTAAAGAATACAATTTCAGAAAAACTAAAACGATTCACAAGTAATTTCCCAGTAAAATTTAATTGATAAAAAGAAAACTGTTTGAAGAAACGATCGTTCAGTATTTTTTCTTATACTCAATTCGATGATGATAGAATTTTGATTCTCTAAGTTGAGGATGTTTTAATTGTGAAGATTTCATTGTTCTTTTTGACCAAATCATCAGCACAAACTTCTTCCTTTCTTTCTTGTGACTGTTATTCCTCGTGGAGCATAGGCCGCCGATCAGCGTTTTACAGCAAACTCTGTTATTGGCCTTCCTTCGTGATTCAGTTGGGTTATTTCCACAATGTGTACGGTATCCACGTCCAATGCTGTTTTGAATTTCTTTCCCAGTCGAAATCTGGTTTGTTCTATCCCATAGAAGGTTGTTACTGACTACTGTCTGGTCAACGGATCCTCAGTATCTTGCGTAGATAACCTGCAAGTAAATCTCTACTCCATACGGTAGAACTGTCTTTATATTTGTATTGAAAATTCCGACTCTGGTGATAGTTGGTTTGAGTTCCAGATGTTGTTCAATTATAGATATACTGCCTTTGCTCTAATCATCTGTGTCTTTACATCGTCATCAGATCCACCTTGTTCGTCAGTGATGCTTCTCAGTCATGTAAAGGTTTCTTTCTTGCGCTAAAGCTTCTCCATCAAGTGTGACTTGGTTAGTGCATGTTGTATTATATCAGAAAACGTCCTGTAGCTGGTTTGTCCAGAAATTATATCCTAAAAACCAACTCTAACTACACAATCTTAGTGAGATTCAAACTGGTTAATTGTGTTCATATTGCACGCCCGCAGTCAAAAGATGACTTGGATATTTTATAAAAACTACAGAGATTAGCTTATGAGCGATGCTAGTACTCTAAAATTTAACAAGTTAAAAGTCTTTATTCCATGCTACCACTGATTTCGAAATAATCTGAATTTGATGTATTTATAGAATACTAAGAAATGGTTTTCGACCTGATTCCTCTTCTCTCTTTGGTTGCTGCCAGATCAAGCAAACTTAGACGACATAACAGGTGAGTACAAAAGCGGAGGTCGAATAAAATACCCTTGAAATATAGGTTTTCACAATGAGTTATTTACTCCAAAAACCTGTTACTCGAAGATTTGATGTCAGCAATTTCCATCAACATGTTCAAGAGAAGACTGGTCACTGTCAGAAGCATACTAGTAAAAAAACTAACACAGGCCGCAGGGTTTCTATCCTCAACACACAAATTTGAATAAGAAAATCTTATTATACTTGAAGCGTTCCTCATATCTTCACAAATCTATAGAAATGTTATACAACTGGATTAATAGATTGGTTATCATAAAAGCTTTGTAAATAATATCAGTCAGCTATAACGTAGAACTTCGTACGTATGTGCGGACATCAGTTCAAGTCACTATACTACATTAGCACACAGAGAGATGGACTCGTCAATTCAAATCCTATAATAGTAGTAGTATGAGCAGTAATCAAACAGATTAACGATCAAAGATATCATTCGAGAAGTATATTTCCTAGAGTGAAAGAGAAATAAAACGGTCATGAGGAATTCGGAAGATTAGAGTTTGAAAGAAGAAACAAAGACTGGATACGCCTATGCCATTGCAAACACTTTTGAGGCATGTCATTAAAAGTTCTGTAATCATCGATTACTACCATAATCTCGCAGACTTCCACACATATAAATTTCAGTGATATAGATTAACTTGAGATTGAATTGGTGGTCCATAGTATTTTGACTATGAACAGATTCTCGTAGTTAATTGTGTCATTCGTCATCTGGATCATCCGTATTGATCACACTGTCGGAATTGTTGAATATCAAGTCAGAGCGCTAGCATAACTATATAATTTCTTATGAGAGTTTATAATTAGACTGTTAGAACAATTTTGTGACTCACACGACCTGACTCCAATTTTAGACAAACATCGTTATATGCTGAGAAACAAATCTGTCATCTAATTTCCATATAATATCATTGATATCATGAACCAGTTATTGATTGTTAGGCCACCTTTAGAAACTTCGAAGCTCTGGATAGCTGTTTCGTCCTGGTATGAGATTCATCAACAGTGCGCATCCATGACTCCTGCTGCTCGCAGAATTCGAACATAGGATCTTCGGTCTTGGGCGTTAATACCTAATCTCAGGACCATCGAAACGTTATCTAACGGTGACTTCGATCAATCCACGGTGTTGTGCAACGTCATCTCTTGTATTCGGTGAGAAATGCTTCACACGCGACGGGAATAAAATTCACTGGTCACAACTTCTCAATAGAACTAGGAAAACTTCCTCACAAAGCTAGCTACTAGTGAACACAGGATAATTTGCATGAAGGGGTTGTGGAGATTTTCGAGTTATGATTTGAAATCATGAATTGATCAATGTTAGATGTGAATGCTCACTGCTGATGAGTCCAGTACCAAGACAAAACGGTCATCCATTGCTTCCAAGTTTCTAATGGTGATCTAAAACTGATCTGCCAGGTTACTTAGACTAGTAGCCCTTCTTGTAACATCATTGATACAAAATGTCATCATCACTAAAGACTAGATGAACAGGATGTTGATTGTATACTTGAAAAACAGTTAAGTTAAGTGGATGGATTTTGTAAATTTGCCCTGATTTATTGATAATAATCACTTTTCCGTACTTCAGGTGAATGATTGTGATAGAGCTTCGTTCATACCTCAGAAGAAGTACAACGAAAGCTCCTCGACCAAAACATCCCTAGCTCAAGGAACGAAACTCCATCATAGTGTTGTGGATTGATTTGCAAATGTAGAGGATAAACGTTCATGCCTGTGGACCGAATGTCCTGGCTTGAATTTACACATGCGAATGTGTGTCTCAGATGTCTATTGTTGACAAGTTCCATACTAAGATGAAAATTCTGTTTATTGCCTTTAGGTTCCAGTTCGATAGATAGATATTCTACTTGGTTAATAATTCAAGAAATAATTGATTTGCTATAAAAAATAGCCAAACATAAGTATACACTATGATCAGTGGTGAAGTTTACTCAGAAAAAAAAACAACTAACTAAAATTACTACTAATATTGCCTTCTAAGTAGTTTAATCGTTATTGATGCCAGAAAAAATTACTTACAAGAATATCAGTAGTATTATTTTGATCATTGCCATTCATATCACCATTCGTTTCCGGTTGAATCTGTTGAAAACACGGTACTGAATGTATCAATCTTATTTTCCCATTCATATTTTCAGATTTTATATCATTGGCCGACACATGATTATTATTATTATTTTTCAACTCTGATAATACTGGCTTCAATGAATTCTTTCGATTCAATTGTAATTTTTCATTCACAATCATTTCTTCATTATCACTAACAGAATTCACTGAGATTTCAGTAATCTCTGACATATTCAACAGATCCGTTTCTGAATCCCATGAATAATTCCAACGTGGATTCATTGATAAATCATTATTATTATAATGATAATGATTAGAAATAACAGAATGATTCATCAATTTCTGTCCAGATGAATCAAATAATTTCAATGTACTAATCTTTTCATGATGAGCATATTGATGCTTTGATGATGTTGATGTTGACACAGATGCTGATGGGGATGATGAATGCATCATAGGAAGATATTGTTTTTCTGACAAAGACAGTAACGATGATGATGATCTTGATGAACGGATTGTAGAAGATGATAATGGTTTTTTTGTTGAATTTTTCAATCCGTTTGTTTTAACTACGATTAAATCAGATGATTCAGAAATACTTCGTTCAAATTGATTTTTATTTTGACTATAATTTTTTATACTACTATCATTAAAATGAGTAGTATCAGTAAGATTAGTTGAAATTGTTTGTACTGGTAGTGGTGTATACTGCTCTATGACATTATTGTCTTTATGTTCCAATTCATTTTTAATAATTAAAACAGTTGATGATTGAGATTTTCTTTCTAAATAATCTTTTGTATTATTATCGTCAATTTCAAATGATTGAATTAATGGACGATAACTATTACGATCATTTACAGTATTGTAAGGACGTGATTGTAGTTTTTGTGTTAATTTCAAATCGGATAACATGGATTTTTGGTGTATATTAATGATACTACTGTGACCACTACTAATACTACCATTGTTACTATTGTTATTATTATTATGATTATGATTATCAGTACCACCATTCTGTCGATTATTCCAGGCAAAATCAACACTTGTAGAACGTTGTGTATTACGTCGTCGAAGATCAGCACGTATAAAACCAGTTGTACGACGTATTGTATTGGTGGAGTTGATATCTGTGTTTGTAGTGTTGCTGCGATTGTTGTTACCGTAAATAATTTCTTGATTGGTCGTAGAAAAAGATGATGGGAAAGTAAAATCACATGAAATAATCATTATCATAATAACAAAAAGTGTTGATTTTTTGCACATGAATGTTTAGTGCCTCCACATATATTTCAGTCCTCTCACATCTAACTTGGTTAAGCCCTTTCGATTAATTTATTTAACCAAGCCATTTGTAAAACAATAACTTATATGTACCATTGGCTTTTATTATTGCGTGGTTTGTATGCGCTGGTATGATTGAACATTGTTTACACTTGCGCGCATATTCATACTTTTCGCTTTAATGTTAATCTCTTAATATCCTCATGAACTCACATGATTTGTATCGCTTGTCATTTGACCTTGTCAATCATTCGTCGCTTTTATTCATGTGTGTGCATACCTATTTCGCTTGTCATATGTCTGTCTTATTCTTATCTGACTATATATTCTTAGTCATGTTCTATCTCTTTGAGTTGGCTCAACAGCCTTCTCCTATTCGCTTCACTCATTCGCTCGCATCGTAATCCAAAGAGTTGACTCTTAGCCTTCTCCGCTTCGCTTTGTGGTGTGCCTCGAATAAACGTATTCATCAATACGAGTTCATCTTCTGATTTATAAACCGAGCTTAAGAACAAGCAGTTATCGGCACACTACAAATGAACCATTGTTAGACCACCGGGAAGCACTGAAAGCACTGGAGCACTGAAAGTGAAGTCGTTTCGTCTTCTTATTAGACTTATCAGTGGCAGTGCGCACCTGCGATTCCTGTTACTCGCAGGAATCGAACCCAGGACGCTTAATCTCTGGACCAGTTTGCCATATCATCCAACGGTGTTAATGTCTAACTCAGATAAACCTAAAGATTTCGCATAACTTCATCCATTGTTACTGTCTAATACCCAAACAACCTTGAACTCCAATGGTTACATCTTCACACTGGAACTCCGAAGAATTTTCTCGTGAAGCTACTTAGTTACTAGTGAGAATATTTTGCGGAATTGGTTGTTTCTAAACAATCAAATCATTCATGATTACAATGTGACGATAAAAATAATTCGAAATGATTCGAATACCTTCTGCAACGAATCACTGAACTCATTGAATACGGGGATCAAAGATGTACACATTTATATTTTATTTGAAAGTATCTCAGTATGTGTTGATGTTCATTTTCATCGATTCTTGACTATCAATTCAGATGACAATTGGTTAGTTTATTCAATTGAGATTTTGCTTGAATGTAACATCAAAACTTGTTCAACATGTATTCAATTCATTTTAAACTATTATGATTAGTTTTTTAAGAGTTTGGTAATCAGAATGTAATATCGTTAGAAATGTACATCTCTAAATTTCAACTTATTGATAGTGGTCCAATGGTTAGGCGTTCGCGCACAATACCCGAAGGTCCCGGGTTCGAATCCTGCGGGGTGCAGGGGTCGCGGATGCGCACTGTCACTGATGAGTCCCATACCAGGACGAAACGGCCGTCATCCAGTGCTTCCAGGTTTTTTATGGTGGTCTAACTAACACTGATCGATTCGTGGTTTCAAAAATGTGTAACTTTACAATGTTCACAACCCCGTGATGCAGATAGTATAAGAGTCAACTGAACACTAAAGGACTTGGCAGTTCTGGGATGAGGTTCAACATTAGGATTAAGTAACTGCCCAAATGCATCTTGATTTTCAATTGCTATCTAGTAGTTAAGCTAGCCAAAATTTAGACACTTTATCATAAACACATTCATTTGCAGACAGACAGATAGATACAACGCAGAACTTCGTACGTACGTAAATCAGTTCAGGTTGCCGTGCCCCATCAGCACAGAGATGCAACTGTCAGTTCATTTTCAAGAGTGATAGCAATAATAGGAGTATTAGCATTAATGGAGAAGATTAGGGAGCGAAGATATGATGTTCTAGGTAAGGAAGCCTGTTGCCCTATTTGACACAATGTCCGTACGTTGAATGCTCCAACATGTAGTCGAGAGCGGGGTTACAGAAGACCAGAAATGACGTTTCGCGAACTCGCATCGTTTGCGTTAGCTGTGCACTTTGATAAAAGAACGTGAAAAGAGTTAGTCGTAGAGATAAGAGATGTACTAGAGGGTGTAGGAAGGATTTGATTTTGACCAATTTGGTCTCTCGTGCTGGTATGGGTATGAGGGCGGTTGTCATTTCCCGGCTGCCCACACTGTGGAAGGTTGTTCCTTGAGAGACCTGAAAAGGAAGATAGATTAGTGTTGGTCTTAGAGACCTGGGAGCTTGACCGCAGAGTCCAAGGGACAACTGCTTGAGCCCGGTCACGCATGGCCTTTTTATGAGAGGTTTTTTGAGTATTAGCTCCGCTCTTGAAAGCCCTTGGTGGGCACCCTTACCCAAGGAGACGGAAATCCATGAAGTAGGGTGAGGTGTGACATTTTTAGGGTCGACATTTTCTAACCCTGCCTTCCTTGTGAGTAGGCAGCATCGTTACAGATGCTGGTTGCTCGAGGGAAACACCTTACTGCAGTCACATCCCTCTGCAGTCAGCAGTGCGACTTCGTCCTCAGACCTTGGGTAGCTGCTTTTAGTCTCATCGTTCTCCAATCGAGCTGCCTGGCATGGTAGAACCTTGAGGAACATATGTTCCAGCCAATATAGCTCGATTGGTTCATCACGATAGTCAAGCCCGACCACCACGCCAAGGTAGCAGCTTCGGTCGGGACATTGATTTGCGAAACCAGCTTATTCTTGACAGTCTTCTTCCACATTTCTTCCATAATTTTTTCGAAACACTCAAATCACGTCATTTCTCCGTAAACGACAATTCTTTTGTGATTACAGGACAGCATTCTGTTGCACAGTCACTACATCCTACTTAGAAAACTTCACTGTAAGTAGTATGCATCACGTCTGAAATGACTAGTTGAAATGAATTAGTCATAAAATTGAGCTTACTTACTAATCAAATTTAGTAGTTCTTATTGATCAGTAAAAGTTGTCTGTGTATACTTTTTGCGAGATGAGTCAATTACATATGTTGTCAGTCATATACTTTAGATCAATTCGGAGGAATGATGACTGGTCAGTTTATTGAATTATAATGACCTTTAGTTAGGGCTGTTCTCATTGGTTAAAATGTCAAATGATCAATTCATTTTATTATTTATTTGTCTGGAATTCAAAACAACTGTCTGTCAACCAACACTAAAGTCACAGTTTTCAATACAAATGTCAAGATATTTCTGTTGTATCAAGAGGAAATTTGGAGAACTACGACAGACATCATCCGAAAAATACAGGTACTGATAAATAGTTGTTTAAGCAAGATATTCCTGATCTACTGGTTAGATACTATCAGCAGCAATCTAGAGTGGAAGAGAACAAACCAGATTCTAATAGAGGAAGAAGTCGAGAAAAATCTCTGGAGATTGATAGGATACATATTGTGGAAACCAAGAAATTACGTCACTGTGCATGCCCTCAGTTGGAATCCTCAAGGTCAAAGGAAAACAGGAAGACCAAAGAACACATCATGTCGATGAAACAACAGCAGAGTGCAGTTAACAATTAGTTCTCAAAATGTTTTCACTGAATCAAACTATGATTTATCATTCGAGAGTTGTGAAGATTGTTGTGTAACATTGAGTATCATGAAGCGATCAATTTTAGAACACCATTAGAAATGTGAAAGCACTAGACAGTCATTACGTCTCATGAGACTCATCTTCAAAATCCATTCAAGATCCTTGCCAACAAGAATCGGACCCAGGATATTTGGTCTGGCGAGCGAACGCTTGACCTCTAAACGCTGAGCCGGTATCTAACGGTGACCTCACCCTTAGTCTCTTGTTGGCAACTTCCTAAAAGTCTGCGAACAGTAGAAAGATTTCCTTCAAACAGTGCAATCACTAAACACGTCTTGAATACAGAACATCCGGTTGATATCTTGCAATGTTTGAAGTTGATTCATAAATAGTCAAGCACCAATCTTTTGAAGTGATATGCTTGTCAACTGGTATGCTTGTAACTAATACGAGTTCACCTTAGTCGGTAAAAGAGAACGAAGACAAATGATCCAGTCACACGATAGGCTTCTATAATCCGAGCGTCTCAAGGCCCCACTAAGTAGAGCAAGAAGTCTGGACAGAACGTAGAGAGCATATTTAACAAGCACCCAGAAAATTGAGGTTGACAAGTACATGATACAAATGTCCTTGGGAGAGCCATAAAAGTAGAATGCTAAAATAATCCATCAACCAACGAGAGTCAAGGATTTTCCGAGTACGACATGTAATTTCAAGCTCAACTGATCAGCCACTGCGCAAAAACACAAAAATTCCAAAGTTAGCACCTTTATCAAGTGAGTCATGGGTATCTAACATCCCAAACATGATATTTTCTGAAGCTTTCAAGCTGCTATCAGCTACTTGAAATTTGAGTGATTTTGTTCAAAGAGAAATGGTTGTTAATCTGTTGTTTAACATTAATAGATTTTGTTCAACTCTTTCTTCTTACCGACTAATTTTACATGATTACATCATTGTCTATTTCAACTGTCCTCTTGATTAGTAAACTGATTTCAACTAACTGAGCTTTAAGCAATTTATTTTTACTGATTATCAATGTTGATTCATTGCGTAGCCACTTGTTTCTCGACTTATTAGACTTCTGTTATATTATCAATGTTGCGGATACATGTCTGCAATCTTTTGCTCTCTTCAAAGTGATAAAGGAAACCATGCGTATTATTCTTAATAATGAAGGCAAAAGAGCGTGGACAGGACAGCACTATGAAGGCTTCTTTGACACTATGACATGCCTCAAAACATAGTCACCATCATTATGACGAACTTTAGAGTAAAATCTTGTATGGTGGACAACTCACAGATTCATTGCAAGTGAATATCGATGTCAGACAAGGTAGCTTACTTGCATCCTTTCTCTCTATCCTCGTGGTTGACTGGATTATGAAGAATTCAGTATCTCAGGGAAAGTAAAGATTACAGTGGACAACTTGGATGTAACTAAATAATGTGGACTTTGCAGACGACTTGACTATTTTATCTTACACACAGCAACAAATTCAGGAGAAGATGGCCAGTGTAATAGGCAGATATCAACATACAGAGGGGAAAAAGTAAGATCTTGAAATATAAAACAACGTGCGACATTTGAATCACGCTTGAGGGAGAAACTTTGGAAGGTAAGTACATTTCTACATTACCTAAGTAACATCATTGATAAACAGTGGGGATCTGGTGCAGATGTGAATACACAGACAAAGCAAGGAGAGCATTTCTATCAATGAATAACAACTGTAACTAAAAACGACTGTCAATCAACATCACAGTCTGAATTTTCAATACGAACGTAAAGAAATTGCTCTATTTTTATGGAGATAAAATTATAGCTCATAATCAAGGAAGTTGATGGAAAGTAATGATTTTCAACAATGGTGATTCATAATATCAGGATTTCGTCAGTACTTGATCGATTTTCACGGAATCAAGGTTACTACTACTAACAAATCTGAGTGTTTACTGAATCTTTTATTCTGTACAAAAACACTCTGTTGAAGACTTTCTCTGGTGTTGATAGAGTAAGGGTTCTGTAGCTCTTAACTCCGCTTGGAGCCTCTATAGGGCTACTATCGGTCCCAAGTCCGGATAAAGGAATAGGGTAGGGCATGGAGTTAGAAAACTAACTTTCCAAAAAAACGCTAACCGAAAAATATGATTCAAACCATCTTAACTCTGCCCTAGGAGTTAGAAGGTATTCATTTGGAAGACTTATGATTCCTCATAATGAAAGCCGAGTATCGTAGGAAGTCACGAGGCCGATACCTCTTCTGACAACCAGAGTAACTATTAGTTTAGGTACGTGGAATGTTCGTATAATGTGGAAGACCGGGAGAGTCATCCAGTTTGCTGTAGAAATGAAAAGATACAACCTGGTGGTATTTTAGAATCAATGAAACATTCTATAACTCTCATATTTGCTACGATCTTGTTTCGTCGGGTATCTTGACGAGGTGTATTCTTCTTTACATAACTGAATTCAATACACTTGGTCTAATGTTTTCAATCATCCTCTTCCCTCTTTTATCTATTTATTCTAGAATGTGTTACACACGTGTGAAATGTTTGAATAATCTGACAAACATTTTGCAAAAAACTTGAACATTGAACATTCATTTGTGTTAATTGTCAAATTTGATCGCTTTTAAGACAGAGGTATTCATATAATTTTTGAACATATCATACACTTTTTGTTATAATTCATAAATTGAATTTTGAAAAAGATTTTTAAGTTTAATTTTTCATCTTGTTTCATCATAAAAATCAATAAATATTTTGAAAATTTCCATTTAAATTGATATAAATAGTACGATTATGAATAAAAATAAGTGAATAATTGTAACTTGTAAGCAATCAGTTTGAGCTAGACCACCATTAGAAATCTGAAAGAACTGTAAGGAGCGTTTCGTCAGAGAATGGGACTCATCAGCACTGCGTACACACGATCAACGTAAGCGGGAACTGAACCCAGGAAGTTCGGTCTCATGCGCTAACACTTAACCTCTAAACCATTGAGTCAGCATGCAATACTAGTAGTATCTAGCTGAACTCGATCCATGATGTTGCACAAACTTCGTCTACCGCCAACGGCGCATAAGTGTTCTCTATCTGACACCGAATGAAATTCACTGGTCATGAATACTAATTAGAAGTCGCTGGTGATCACATTGTGGTGTGAGCTACTTATAAGTAGTATATGACCCGAGTGAACACATAATGTCTGGCAGCAGAAGATGGGGCAAGATCAAGTAAGGAAGAGTGGGAACACAATCGAATTTGTGTATGAAACGCATGAATAAGTGAAATGTCAGACAATGGATTGATGATGGATTGAAGATTTGCAAATTAACAGTTTACGATATGGTTTTCCCTATTTTACTGAGTAACTATGTAATTTGCGATAAATACAATTCGGTTGCCCACACCTTTGTTCTCCTTCACAACAACATGACTGTTATCAATGGAGGAAAATTGTGAACATTGATATTATTTTCCTAGTCGAAGTCATAAAATGATCTAGGCTAGTGGGGGGGCTCATAGATCCTCACTACTGACGAGTTTATACTACGAAAAAATGGCCGGTCAGTGCTTTCGAATTTGTAATGATGGTCAAGGAGTAAATTTCATAATTTTAAGTTATGTTAATTACATCTTAATTTGTAAATTTCTTTAAATTTTTTTATGAAAATTTGAATTTCTTATTTTCGCGCCAAAAAGCAAAACCAGTATTACTTTCAGTTTAGATTTCTAGCCTGGAAGGAGGTCAAGATTTATGGGTTGGTCTTTTTATTTTATCATACTATTTTGTGACTCTTTCAAGGATTCCTCTCTTGTATTCTAATATTGTTGCTTGGTAAACCGACAAACCCGCTGCACATGCACATCGCTGCTTTTTAGGCAACACAAGGATTTTCACTGTCGCCAACAGTAATCACCCCTGCCCCAATCGGGAACATACATGTTGTCCAGTTTGGTCTGCAAGCAGGTTGGACGTCCAAAAAGCACGCACGCGGACAGTGGCCCCCGTTCGGGCACTTATGAATCGACAAGATCCCTCCACCAATCGACTACCCGAAATCCCCAGTCGGCATGAGCGACAAGGCGGGCTTACCCAGCTAGACCTGGTACTCTGGACGGATTACCGAGCCACTCTGCATTGCGCTGAACAGCAGCCATTCAAACCGTCTGGCCTCCAACTGTCTTGCGCTGTTACAATCGACTGGAGCCCTCAGACCCCACATGAAGCTAAAGATTGAGTTTGTACCACAAGGTCAGCCGGAACGTACACACTCACATGGGGAAGATGTCATGGACTCAACCAAGTGCAAGCACTCGGCCACGCTGGGTTAGTCCCACAAAAATGGGCAGACATCATTGGCGTCCGGTACCCTTTAGCACCGGATCATCTAACCCAACTCGCGATCCTTGATTAAGGGGCCTCGACGCCAGTTTACACAACACACCGAGATGCACAGTGTTCGGGACAACTACATAGGGTCAGCGTCAATAATCCAGGATGTCTACGGCTGCTTCCCAAAACAGAACGTCTAGGGCCAACTTCAATCATCCTGGAAAGGTATATCCCTTTGAAGGTATTTGTTACTACGGAATGATAGAGGACAAGTCCTCAAACCATTATCGGAATTTACCTACGCTCGATAGACGGGACTCAGTCTTACAGGCTTTCAGTCCTAATTTCCCAGAGTAGCCAAACGCATCCACAGCCTAGTGACCATGAACACGTGCCATCATTCTGGACCATGCACATGAAATGAATGCCTGCTGTTTGTTTGTTCAGGGTGGCATATAAACTTTATATACTTCCTGCTAACTTTGAACTGCTTTCCTTAGTTAAATGGATTGGAGCGCAGAGGATTAGCTTAACTTGTCCTTTTATTGTGTCTTTGGCCATATTATTCCGTTTGTTAATATCGAGTTCCGCTTAGAGCCCTTCCTGGGTTACTGGTGGTCCCAAGCTCGGATAAAGGGGGGTGGGTTGAACATTAGGTTAGCGACCTTATCACGTAGAAAGCTAATTCGTAAAAACCGCTAACCACAAATGGTCGGCGGCCTATGCTCTTTTGGGAGAAAACAGGTGTAAGTAAGTAAGTAATTAAGTAATCTTAAATAGTTTTCAGATATAATCCAATTACGAAATGGCACCAAAGTCATTATATTTCCGTCCGATAAGATAACCATCAGTGGTATTATTATACTAACTGATATAAATCAGTAAAAAATGTGAAAATATACACCATTATTTTTTTTATGTTGTGCAAAATTACATGCTTGCTACATCGCTTATTTCACAATCTCATTTTGCTGAATTTTGAAGAAATCTACTACTTATAAACAGTGTCAATATGATCGGAACACTAACGCCAATGGATACCAACTCAGTGGTCTAGAAGTTAGGCGTTCGTACCCTAGACTGAAGGTCCTCAGTTGGATTCTCGCTAACGGGAGTTGTGTATGTGGATTGTCAGTGATAAGTTCCATAATAGGACAATACCGCTGTCCAATGCTTTTAGGTTTCTAATGACAGTCTAACAATGATGGATTTATGATTTCAGGGATTAGGAATCGATTATAAAAATTATTTACAACTCTATAAAGACATTGAAGAGTATACTGTTTAGTTGATATCATTAATCCGCCGTTAAAACTAGTCTTAGACATAATCTGGAAGGATTGATTGATTAAGTGCGACAGTCAGGATTGGCCAAATCAGAAGACCGTTTTCGACCAATCAGAAATGGCTTAAAGGACGAATGAATATCATTGGTTAAGAAAGCGAGTCATTTTCTGAGGTGACGGAAGAGGTACTTATGTATAATTCGATAACCTGTTGCAAAACATCAATCCATTGTCTGACATTTCACTGTTCATGCGCTTCATACAAATTTCATTGTGTTCCCGCTCTTCCTTTCTTGGTCTTCCCACATCTTCTGCTGCCAGACATTACGTTTTTACTCGCGGCATATACTACTTATAAGTAGCGCGCACCACGATCTTTTGGAAGGCGTTGCATGTCTTATGTTCAAATTTTGAACATCGTATATCATAGAATACGAAAAAACTCATTAATTTATGTTCCAATTGTAGCGCTCAAAAGAAAATATTGAATTTTCATTATGCTTGTTTACTTATCAACTTACTAAAAAGTCAATTTTCATTGTTATCACTTCATATGTTATTGAATATTGAAATGATTTTCAAATGACGCTTATGATTATTCATGAGAAATGAAAAAAAAAAAACAACTTACTAGATTGCATTTCGGGTAATTGTTGAAAATTGATAATTTTCAATTGCAGCGCATCACGTGATGTTGTAATTAAATCCACTACTTCTGTATGTGTTGCATCGTACACATCAATCCCATTGATCTTGATTGAATGTAATTGGGAGACGAGAGAAAAATAGTTAATATTAAATGAACAATGATATAGTTTAAGTAAAAATAACACAGATATCTGAAGTTTTCTTTTTTTAGGTTTCTATAAAGTGGGAAAGAACAAACTAGATTCCAGTGGAGGGGAGGAAATTAGGAAGAAAAACTGGAAGAGGATAGGACTCAAGTGCGTTACGATGCAAGCCATCACTGGGAACCATCAAGGTCAAAGGAAAAGAGGCGGAGCAAAGAACACATTAATCCGATAAATGGAGATAGATATGAGAAGAATGGAGAATAGTTGAACAGAACTGGAAAAGGAGTCCCAGGACAGAGTAGGTTGGAGGATGCCGGTCGGCAGCGTATGCTCCTTTGGGAGTAACAGGCGTAAGTGCATAAGTGCATAAGTAAGTAAGTACGTAAGTAACTAAGCGTATGTGCATAGATTAATGAGCTTATTATATGCTTAGCATATTTCTTGTCTGAATATAAATAATTAGTCAAACCTCATCACATGGAGTTGGTTCAGTCACCCTATCCACTTAGCTTCGCTTTGCTTTTACACTTTGTATTCTCATGTCTGCCTGCGTGTTGGGGATGTTAGATCCCCAAAATTCGCTTGATAATGCCGTATTTCGGTTTTCACGTTTTGCCAGCATGGGCTGATCAGATGACCTTGAGATTTCAATTCCCACCAGGAAAATCCATGGCTGTCATTGGCTGCTGTGTATTTTAGTATGCTATTTTCTTAACTGTCTCAAGGACGTTCTTATGTTGTATAAATAAACGAGAGTTGTATGCTTGATTGTATTGTGATTGCTGGATGCTTGTAGAATATACTTTCTACGCTTACAAAGACGTCTCACTTCAGCCTCAGATTCAAGGTAGCCTCCCTGGAAGCTGGTAAAAGTCTCGTTCGCGTTTATCGACTAAGGTAAACTCGTAATAGCCTCAAGCATACTAAGTGACGAACTTATCACTGCGTGAACGATCGCATGGAATAAAATCATCCAAATGAATTCATATTTGGTTTCTGTTATGATATTCATCCAATATCCTAAGAGAATTATTGACCAATTCCTTTTGGTTAATTCCTAATGGTCAATTTTATGGTCGTCTTAGATATCAATGTCACGTGATCCAATGTTGTTTCCTATTGGTTTTCCTGACTAGTAATGTCAATTCAAATGTTGTTTCCGATTGGTCGACTTAACTGTCAATGTCACAGACTTCAACGTTGTTTCCTATTGGACCTTAATGTATAAATATACATTATCTGTAACGTCTTATGACCCGGTCCCGTATTCCTAGTCCGGGATCCTGATTCTCTTATGGACTCAGACCTCGTACTTTTTGGATGCTTGTAGAATACACGTTCTACTTCATATCAAGCCTTCTTCTTATATTCAGTGGAGGTTAGGACACTCGGATTACAGTAGCCTATCGTGTCGCTGGATCCTCGATCCTCTTTCTCGTTTTTCAACAAGGGTAAACTCGTAATAATAATTCAAGCATATCAAAATGACATGTTTCACGTGCATGCGTAACAACTTCTTACTACCGCCATTGTACAAACTAGGTTCACCTAAGCATGGTAAACGAAAATTGAAAGGCACATTCACATTGTAGCATATTCAACAGTTTGTCTATAAGTTGGAATCAGATAATGGGCTACTAAAAGGTTTATTCATATTGATTTATACTGATATTTAACAGTGTCAGTTAAGACCAAACGAGCATCTTTAGTTTCACTGATAACTACTATTCCACATATACTAGAGCGAGACTTAGCAGTCACAGTCTCTTACAATAGTAATAAAAACTCTCTAAAATAATAAGGACTCAGAAATATTTAACAATCTTCACAACCCCGTAATGCAATTAATTACCTGTGCTAACTAGTGACTAGCTTCGTGAGGGATCTCCAAGTTCTAGTGGGAAGAGATGACCAGTGAAGTTCAACCTGTTCGGTTGTAGACAGTAACTACCGAAGACTGTGTATGAGGTTGCGCAACTCCGTGAATTGGTCAAGTTAGACATTAACATCGTTAGATACTGGCTCAGTTGCCCGAGGGTTAGGCGTTCGCCTACAATACTGAAGGTCCTGGGTTCGAAGCCTGCAGGGAGCAGGAGTCGTGGATGCGCACTGCTGAGGAGTCCCATACCAGGATGAAACGACCGTCCAGTGCTTCCAGGCTTAGGGTGGTGGTCTAACATAGATCGATTCATGGTTTCAAAAAATGTATAACTTAACAATCTTCACAACCCCGTAATGCAAATAAGGAATCAGGTAATTTTCTTCAAATCTTATAAATCACTCTTCATTTTTATTTGTCTTACTTTCAAAGACATATACGCTAAGGTTTTTCATATTAAAACAACGCGCACACACACAGCACTACGTTTTTGTTGACCAATTCTAGCCAACATGAAATCCACATTCAGAACTTATTGTCAATTCAGCGAGTTTATTTCATATGACAGAATAGAATAGAAATATCTGTCACAAAAAAGAAACTTACTTCCAAGATATAATCACCTGGAACAAGTCCAGATTTTTCTGCTTTACTATTTGGTTGAACACTTAGAATACGTTGACTTGGTAAATTTGCCGCAATCAATGATCGTTCTTGGAAATCTAAATTTAATCCAAAAAAGTAGTAAATGATTAAGGTTGTTTTCTCGATAACTGACTTTAAATTGGTCAATCGCTTTTGTGTTAAACCAGTTAGGATTAAAGCAATTGAGGAATGAAGATCACAGGTCAGGACTCGACGAGGAGTGAATATTTGATCTAGGTCTAAAACCACCCTCATTTTATTCAGTCTGCTTTTCATGAGCACTATTTAGGCGTCGAAGTATTATTGTAGTTAATATTTTGGACAAGACATTAGTCAAACTGATTCCTCGACGATTGTGGCAAGAGGATTTCTATCTTTTCTTATCGTCTGAGACAATCAGTGATTGAGATCATTCAGATGGGATTATATCGTTTCTCGATTTTACCCATCATCCTTACAATCTGATGACTTGATCTGTCAGGAACTGCTGCTCTCTCAATTAAGATATCCTATGGTCTTTCCACTCCAATGAAGAGTCGGAGGGCTTACATCAATTCTCTGTTCAGGTTGACCGGAGATCTTGGAAAACTAAGGCGTGGGTGAAGGCCAGTTGAACTGATCCCTAAGGTTTTCTGCCCATCGATCCAATCTCCTGGACTGAGAATGAATAATAGTCCCATCTTTTTCCGAGATAGTCTCACTAACAGTTGGATTCCTAATACCGGTTTCCTTCATAAGTCTAAATAGCTGTCTACTGTTAAATATTGCCACTGCCTATTCTATCTCTCTTGCTTTCACTACCCATCATTGTTCACGATGATTCTTATCAGCCTCCGCTTAAGCTAACTCCGCTCCTCATTATGTTTAGAGGCAGACGGGATGCGTTTTAGAGCATCTGTCAGTTCAGCAGACGCTACTAAAAATCACCGCTTCTCTCCAACCTTATGGTTTACCCTATCGGCAGATATCACTGTTTTTTATACAGCTTTGTGAACATTATTCCTAACTGCCTCAAGGTGAGGATAACTATCACCGCGGCATTTTCCTATCAAGCCTCTCCATCGGTGGCTGATAGTAATATGGTCTTCTTGAGTCCAACATGGAATTAATTTTCGAAGTCACCAAGTCAAAAAAAATGTTTATCTTCTTGCTTAAAGTTGGTGTTTGCCAGACATAGGCGGTTATCTGATCAGAGCTGCTGCAAATGGTCTGAATAGTCTGTTCAATGAACAATGAAAGCTTGTCTAAGACCAGAAGATGTGAGTAGGAATATATTATATTCAATAATCTACTTGTTTCGCAAATGGAAATCCCTAAGAAAAAGTGTTGTTGGTAAACATTTCAGATCCTAGGAATTTAAAGCTTGCATGATTAATGGTTGTTTGTTGCTTTTGATTACTAACCTTATTAAATGTAAGTGTATTTTATGCGCTTTCATAGTTATTCAGCTCATCTCTTATTCTTTTTCTATACTTTTCCAATTCTCCCTACTGCACTCATCCTACTCTGCTTGCTTCTCTATAGAACACAGCTTACCTTCTTGCCAGACATGAATCACTGCAGTATGATATTGTAGTGCCTCCACATATATTCGAGTTCACTTACATTTAACTTGGTTAAGCCCTTTTGGATCAATTTATTTAACCAAGCCATTTGTATTACAACAATTTATATGGACCATTCGTTCCTATTATTGTCTAGTTTGTATGAGCTCATATGACGTGTCCCACTTGTCATTTGACGGTGTCACCTATTCGTCACCTTTATTCATGTGTGCCTATTTCGCTTGTCGCATGTTTGTCTTATATTTGTCTGACTATATGTTCTTAGTCATGCTCTATCTCTGGGAGTTGGCTCATTAGCCTTCTCCACATCGCTCCATACGATTTGCTTCAGTCGCTCATTCGCTCGCCAGTGTACACTACAATATAATTCAAAGTAATTGCCATTGATAGCTGAATTGAATCAATGTAACAAGCACTGTACATGAGAAGCCATTTCAAGATAGAGTGCAAACACATGGATCATGTGATCACTTGAGAAGTGATGCAAAGTTTACACAATATTTAGATCAGGTGTCTAAAATTACGGACTGAAGGATTACATAATCCAATAGTCAAGCTTTCAACGAGGTTTGGAGCAATGAATGAATGAATGAAAAGCAAGCATCTAAAATCAATTAACTCAACTATTTAACTTACTATCAGATCCTTGCATAATAAAACCATAACCGGTTATGCCACGTTCCAATGTGATTGAACGTAAACGATAATTTGGATAACGTTGTCTAAAGTATTACAAATTATATCAGTAGTATATATATATACATATAAAAATAAATTAGGAAATAATTGACTCAAGATAGGCGCCATTGTAAATTGGTTTACAGCCATCGATTTTAACCATCGATTATTATCATCTCTGGGGCTCCAACCAGTTAGTCAATACCTACCAACATGACTCAATACAGTCGTCAGTGACTTCATGGATTTGTGCCATGTTTTTGTTTGGCTGACCCTAGCTTTCTTCCAACCTATTCTTACATCACAAAGCAAAGTAGTATTCACTTTCAAGGAGATTCAACAGCCCATTTAGACAATTTGAGAAAAAAATTCTGTTCGTCCAAACTATGTTTAATCTTTTCTCATTGACCAATGATTCATTGTTGTATGAAACACAAGCTCATGTTTTGGGTTCAGTCACTGTTCATCTATCAGTTTAGTTGTTTCTACTGAAGCAAGCCACATGAAGTGAACTCTTTCGAAATATATCTCCAAACATTACTTCCATTATGGAATATCTAGTTAATTCTAGCCACTTCTCTTCACCAAAAGAAACCTTATTTCAAATCATTCACGTAGTCAGAAGATTCGGTTCAATAGGAATACAAACGCAAAACTTTAGTATAGCAGAGGCAATTGTTATTCACTACTGAAATCATGAATCAATCATTGGTAGACCACCATTAGAAACCTGGAAACACTAAACGACCGTTTCGCCCTTGTGTGAGACTCATCATTATCAGTGTAGATCCACGACTCCTGCTACTCGCAGGATATGAACCCAGGACCTTCAGTCTTGCACACAAACGCTTGACCTCTGTATCACTGGGCTGGTATCCAACGGTGTTAGTGTTTAACTCTGATCTATCTAAGGATTTTGCCTGATGTCGCCTATTTTTACTGCCTCACTAGTGGAGTTTACTACACTAGTCAGGTCTTATCACTAGGAATCCGGGAATTTCCTCACGAAGCTAGTCACTAGTTTAAACTTAACGTACAAAAAAACGCTTATTCTCCTGTGATCTTAAACTTCTTCCTTCTATTTTTCTCTAATTTATGGGTTTCTTAGTTGTTTTTAATTTTTCACTGATTATTTCACGCACTCAACTCTCGTCATAGGTCATGCCCTCAATTGAATCCCCAAGATCAAAGGAAAAGAGGAAGGGCAAGGAATACATTACACTGAGAATTGAAGACAGATATGGGAAGAATGAGCAACAATTGGACAGAACTGGAAAAGTGAGGCCGAGGACAGAGTACGTTGAAGAATACTGGTCGGCAACCTATGCTCCATTGGGGGGAACAGTTATCAGTAAGTAAGTAAGTTAGAACCTTTCACTCTTAAACGATTACTTAACTTCTTTACTAAAATATTTGTTTTCTAAGCAACGATTTATCACATAATCCCACCACAAATTGTTTAAGATCATTCTAAAGATTACTACTTTTTAACAGAGAAAATTAATTGCGGAATACAATTTTATAGCTTAAGTAAACGACATTGTCGGAAAGAAAATTTTCCTCTCCCTGAATCACCTTCAATCTTCTTCACTGATGCGATGACACCCTTTTGTTAATCATTAGAATGTTTTCACTGAAGAGGATTTATGGGGACTGTAATTTTCATTGAAATCATGAATTCATTAGTGTGAGACCATCATCTCAAACTTGCAAGCGATGGACGGCCGTTTTGTCCTGGTGTGCAGTGAGCATTCCAACTCCTGCAACTCACAAGATTCGAATCAAGGACTTTGGGTCTTGTGTGCGAATGCCTAACCTCTGGACCACCGTTCAGTAATCCAGAGGTTTGGGCTTCACGCGTAAAACCGAAGGTCCTGGGTTCGAATCCTGCGAGTAGCAGGAGTCGTAAATGTTAATATTTAAAATGTTTCCACTGAAGAGAATTTATGGGGATCACATTATTTTCACCGTTGAAATCATGTACTGATCTTAACTAGACTACTATTAGAAATATAGAAGTAATGTTCATCAGCAGTACATACCCATAACCTCCACGAAAGGAAATCATACTCAGGACATTCAGTCTTGTGCTTGAACGTTTAACTTCTCGACTACTGAATCAAAATTATTTAATTAAACTTGGAGAATTACAAAGGACATCCTGTAAAATATACAGGTGTTTTCTACACAAGATATTGAGGATCGATTAGCCAGACACTTTCAGTAGTAACCTAATGTGACACTGAACAAACCAGATTCTATCTGAGGATACACATTGCAGAAATCCCTTGATTATATCACGAGGCAAGCCCTAAAATGGAATCCTCAAAACCAAAGAAGACAAGAAAGACAAATGAACACATCACGCCGTGAAACGGAGACAGACCTTAGAAGAATGAACACCGATTGGATAGAACTAGAAAAGAGAGGCCAGGACAGTGTCATCTGAAGAATCTATAGGGTTCGTCATTTGGTACGCTTGAAGCTATTACGAGTTCACCTTAGTCGATAAACGAGAACGAGACAATTACCAGCGTCCAGATAGGCTACCTTGAATGCCAAACTGCAAAACAGAAGTCTTGATAAGCGTAGAAAGTATATTCTACAAAAACCCAGCAATCACAATACAATCAAGTACACAACTCTCGTTTATTTATACATTATAGAAACGTCCTTGGGACAGTTAAGAAGATAGCACACTAAGCACACACTCAGTAAATAACTAAGTACCAAGTCAAAATCAAGTTCTACAATCTTCATAACCTTTATACTAACACAATAAATGATGCGATTCCATTTCTACAAGTAAAGTACATGGTAAATCACTAAATTTAGGGATTTAGTTGTTTCTATTCAAACTAAATCAAACATTCTAAGCATAACATTAACAATATTAATTAATAATAATAATAATAATAATAATAATAATGTTACCTTAAGAAATTTAATCGTCTTGAAAATTTCACACTTTCTACAATAAAAAAATAATTCAGAAAAACAAAGAAACAGAAAACATTATTTAAAATCTTTCTTCCTCATTTTCACGTTCAATGTCCAATCTAATAACTAGATTATTAACAACAATAATAATAATAAGACTCGTTGTATACATTGTCAATTGATTGAATTAAAACATATTTCAAATTACCCGCCAAACTGGTGTTCAATGTTCATTGTTCACAGTTCAATGTTTTATTATTTTACTATTCGATATATTCTGTTTTGAAATGTAAACGTTTGAAGATAATCTGTTAAGACAGATTGTAATGCTTGTCTCCAGGTATGCTTAAAACTTTTATGGGTTCATCTTAGTCGATAAACGAGGAGACAATGAACTAGCGTCCAGATAGGCTACCTTGATCTGAAACGGCTAAAGAGAAGTCTTGATATAACAAAGATAGTGTATTCTACAAACATCCAGCAACCACAATGCAATCAAGTACACAAATCGCATTTATTTATACATCATAGAAACGTCCTTGGGAGAGTCACAAAAATAGCGTACTAAAATAATACATCAACCAATCACAGTCAAGGATTTTCCTGGTGAGATATGTGATCTCAAGGTCAGCTGATCAGCCATTGAATAAAATCCAAAAAATAAAGACATTTATCAAGCGAGTTCTGGGGATCTAATGTCCCCAACACAGATATCACCCATTTGTCACATAGACTGACTCAATTTAAAAATCTAAAATGTCATTGAATAGTCAGTTTAATCTAGCAGAACACGATTTAAATTGATAGGTTTCTTTCAAGTTTGATTTTTTTTTAAAAAATCATAAACCCTTTAACATTGAAGATCTAAAATCGTTGAACATCTTTGTGACTAAAGGATAACTTTCAGACATTTAAATTGAAGATTTAATGACTCAACTTTGTAATCAAACATCTCTCTTGAAAATAAAGATTATTGACGTTAGATCTAAAAAGGATTTATTAGTGATCCTTATTACCTATGGTGGAGTTTCTGGTCATCGGCCTATGCTCCACTCAGGGTGACTTAAGTAAGTAAGTAAGTAAGTGGAGTTTCATTATTTGAGCAAGATGCTTTGGTTGTGGGGCTTTCATTGTTTATCTGGACAACATCAACAGCACAAACGTCAGAGAGGAGTATTCAAGTGTTTCCATGTGTGAGACTCGTAGTTTGTCCTGTTCAACATGATAGACAGGACAGGATGAACAGGATAAACAGGACAAGTTGTAATTTATACATGGAGGAATTTCGAATATTTCACTTCTCTACTTGAAATTTGTGCTTCTGATGATGATGATGTTTTTCAGAAGAACAACAAAATGGAAGCTCCACAGAATCTCACAGAACGCGACTACACTGTAATCATCTACCTGAGTGTGAGGAGATATTCATCCAATATCCTAAGAGAATTATTGGTCAATTCCTATTGGTTCATTCCTAATGGTCAATTTTTATGGTCATCCTTGATATCAGTGTCACGTGCTCCAATGTTGTTTCTTATTGGTCGTGCTGACTATCAATGTCACTTCAAATGTTGTTTCCTATTGGTCTTCTTAACTGTCAATGTCACAGACTTCGATGCTGTTTCCTATTCGACCAAAATGTATAAATACGCATTATCTGTAACGTTTAATGACCAGGACCAGGACCCGGTGCTGGATCCTTAGTCCGGGATACTGATTCTCTTCTGGACTCAGACCTCATACTTTCTGAATTCTTGTAGAATACATTTCCTACTTCATATCAATTCTTATTTTTACTCAATATGGGGGTTTGGGATAATCGGATTAGAGTAGCATGTCGTGTTCGCTGGATCCTCGATCCTCTCTTTCGTTTTCCGACTAAGATAAACTCGTAATAGTTCAAGTATATCAAGTTGATGTGTTAACATGCATGCGTAACTCTGAGCTATACATTATACATGCATGATACTACTAGTATTAGTTGGGCAATCGCTTTTTTACATGCGCGCACACACACACACAAACATACATACATACACATCGAAAATATCACTTACCTTGTGAATTACTACGATTATAACTTATCCTTCCACCAAAATCATTATTATGATTGTATGTCATTTGTCGTCGAACATACATTGAAGGTCTATTCCCATTATTATTGTTATTATTATTGTTACTACTATTATTATTATCAGTAGTATGATTATTATTATTATTACTAATTTGACCATTAGTAGTAGTAGCTTCTTTATTACTCACAGGATGACGTCTAATAATATCCGGTGTATCGGATTCCATGATACCATCGAATGTGAACTGATTCATTTTTTGTTTCAATGTTGACTTACGGAAATCATTCATATCAACTGATAAACATCGTTGATGTAATGGTGGCGGTGGTGGTGCGGGCAAGTCTCTATCCACTGATATTGATTTAATGAGTTTACGTGTGGAGAGTGTACTACTACTTGTACTACTACTACTATTATTACCATTGCTGCTGTTATTGTTGTTGCTATTTTGACGAAAGTGAACACTTTCATAAACTGCTCTCGGTCCATGGATTGTTGGACGTCTATCTTTGTTGTATACAGGTTTTTTATTAATTCCTCCTGAAATGATGGACAAGTGGGAAGGAAAGAGAGGGAGATGAGAGGAAATAAAAAGGATTATCAGCAAAGGAATCGGGTATTTTGAAATTGTTACACTAAAAGACAATATTTGAGGCAGATGAAACGTCGAGAACTACTCTATAAGGGATTATGTATGTATGTATTTTTATGGAATTTTCACAGGTTTTTGTTTTATGGTTATTGGACCGTTGATAAATACAAACGTTGTGGGTTTAAACATCAGCGGACTCAACAATCTAGTAAATTTATCATTCGAAATTAAATAGATAATAGTTAGATGTATGTATGTATGGTAATTGTAGCTATATCAGGTGTACTTCCAAGCAATTCAATCAGAAAATGAATGAACATCTCTCAGCATGGTTTAGAAAGACCCGGATCAAAACAATAGGCAGCTCTATCTTGGCACACTTTATTGATAGATCTCATAATTGTGGTGCTGGTGTTTGGTTCTTTGAGCTGGATGTTTTGGTTGTGGAGCTTTCATTGTTCTTCTGCCGAACAACATTATCAGCACAAACTTCAGATAGAAGAAGTGAAGCATTCGAATTTCTCCACATTTGACTTGTAGCCTGTTCTGCTAACCTCGATTTTGATTGGTTGCTGTTGACATTAAACCTGTCGTTGTTTGCACCTTTGATTTGATTGTATCCCCCTTTTGATCTGTTTCTTGATCCTGTGTCACCTATGATTTCCCTGAATAGTTGATAAATTGGGTCAATGTCGATGTGTTTGTTGATTGCTGATTGACCTGAGAGTCAAGCTTCTAACGATTCCCTAGTGTTCTTTGTCTTCCCCCTATCCAGTATTTCCACATTATCCCAATCGAACGTATGTCCATAATTGTCGGTGTGTATTGATATAAGCGAAGAGTTGTCGTGGCGTTTGACTGCTAATTGGTGTTCACGTAAACGAAGCTGAAGAGGCCGTCCACTTTGTCCTATGTAGTGTTTTTCACAGTCTGAGCAGTTGTTTATTTTGTAGATGATAATTGGTTTTTTCTTCCTTTGTCATTTTGTCCTTTGGTCTACATAGAGGATTGATTGAAGTGATTCTGTCGGTTTGTGTGCCACACCTATTCCAACTTGTTTCGGTAGTGGTGCTGTATGCTCCGATATGTCTTTTATGTATGGTAGGATGATCCGTTTATTGGTTCCTGTGCTTGATTTCGCTTCTGATGATGGTTTCGGTTGATGTTTTTTTGATGAAGTTGCGTGGATAGCCGTTCTTCCATGTTCCAAATAACAGAAGCCATAGAAAATTCGTACATTCAACCCCAATTCATGTGTGTTCAGAAGAAATTTGTGACAACCCTTGTCCCATTTCCTTGACCGGATATAACTTTACAAATGATTTTAAATATTTTTTACATCCTGTATTTGTATGTAATCCTCTGCCTCTTTCCATCTATATTCTTTTCAATCGAATTATTTACGTAGTCCTTATTACGTAATGATTGTGAATGTTTTGTGATGATTATTTTAAATCTCTTCATCCACATTTGACCTACTATTTCCAATGATGAACTATTGACTGGAACTTTTGTTAGGATATTTTACTCTTCTTAATACTAACAGTACACCTATCTTGTACTTTTTCACGAATTATGTGTCTAGTTACGTAATCCAGTTCGTTGTGATTATTAACTCATAATAAATTTTCAATTAGAATTATGGAGATTAATGTTTTTACACATTTGAAATCATCAGTGAAGTTCAACCCTATTGGGCGTAGGCAGTAACAACCAAAGACAAATGGGTGAGGTCGCGCAAAAACCGTAGATCAATCAGAGTTAGACATTAACATCGTTGGATGCCGGCCCAGTGGTCCAAAGGTTGGGCGTTAGCGCACATGACAGAAGGTCCCGTTTTTGAGTCCTGTGAGGTGCAGGAGTCATGCGTGAGCACTAATGGCTGATGAATCCCATACTAGGACGAAACGGCCGTCTTTCAGTGCTTCCAAGTTTCTAATGGTGGTGGTCTAACAATGATAGATTGATGATTTCAAATCACAATAAATTCCCTTGACTTTGGTTTAACATTTTCATATATACATACATATTCATATATCTTGAAGAGTATAAAACCTGATGACACTCTCTAATTGAAAACAACAGTATTGTTCGCTTACGTATATCGATCTACTTTAAGATATTCCTCCTACTAACTGGTTAACAAAGGAAAAAAAACCAAAAACCACTTACTAATTGATTTTTCATCGAAATTCTGTAAAATATGCGCTAAATTCATACGTTCTATGAGAATAGCTAATTCATATGGTGTTTGACCAGATGAATTCATAATAGTTGGTGATGCACCACATTGTAGTAATAAATTTAAACATTCCATTTCATCAGCCAACACACATAAATGTAATGGTGTATTATGATTTTCTACTTGTGCATTTAAATCAGCGCCATAAATAATTAATTGTTTCAATGTTCTATAGCGACCATTTAAACAAGCCTTATTGATTGATTGAATATGGTAAAAAATGATGAAAAAGAAAGGGATAAAATAAAAAGCATAGTGTAAAATAATGAAAGATTATTTGAAGAACTATGAAATTTATTTCATGAATCTTAAGTTTATGATTGATGTGTGATTCACTGATGCACTACACCCGAGTGAGCAACGCTGTTATTAGGAATCGGGTGCTAGGGTAAGAATGGCAGATCAATAAACGCGGTAGTGACACTTTATCAGTTGAAGTGGTTGGGACATGTGTAGCGTATGCCCAACAACCGACTGCCTCGTCGAGCTTTATTTTGTAGTGTAGGAATAGGTTGGAAGAAAGTTAGGGACGGCCAAACGAAAACATGGCAGTAATCCATGAAGTCATTGACAAGTGGACTGAGTCATGCCGGTAATTGTGGAATACCTGGTTGGGGTCCGCGAGATGATAATAATCGATGGTTAGAGACCTTGAATGAAATGGCTCAAAATCATTCGCAGTGGCGCTGGTGCATTTATTCTTTGTGTTCTCTCAAATCCTAATCTTCTGTGTTCTTCAAAACCTCTAGTTTTGACTTTCTAAACTTTTCTCATTGAATCATACTTCTTGAATAATATCTTCTAATCCTAACCTCTCCGATTACTCCTAATACCTTTACTACCTCTTCTACTATTGGATTTGAATTGACAATTGCATCTCTGTGCTGATGTGGTATGGCGACGTGAACTGATGTACTTACGTACGAAGTTGTACGTTGCATCTGACTGACTGCCTGACACTGATGCACTCTGTTCTGTTCCAAAATTATTATGATTTAAACCTTACATGCTATACTCTCCTTTTCTAGCCTAAATATCTCGTTTGAAAAAAAATAGTGCTTTTTAATTCTTTGTACGTTTTAGTCTTGCTGAGTATATAATTACTCATATGTCTTTGTTTGTTGGCCGTGTAGTGTTCCAGGTAAATCGTTTTTTTCTCTCCCTTGTTTGTCCGACTTTCTGATTATAGAATAATTCTTATTCATTGAAACTGTCAAGCGATTATTGTTAGGCCATCATTAAAAGCCTGTAAGCACTGGACGGCTGTTTCTTCCTAGAATGGGACTCTTCAGCAATGTAGTAACTTATCTGTATCAATGTGTTTTTATTATTATTATTATCGCGTTTGTATAAGCAGGTATGATTGAACATGGCTTACCGCCTACGCACATTTTCATTCTGCTATCTTTAATGTTAGTCGCTCAAATGAATCGGTCATGCATTCATTTGGCTAGGTATATGTATGCACATTTTGATCTTATTCGCTTGCGCAATCATTAACTCTCTCTCTCTCACACACACACTTAGCTTGCTCGCATATCGCTTTCATTTATGTGCCTGTGGGTTTTGTGATCTGGCTTAAGGTGTCATAATAAACGTAATTAACACTTCGTATTCGTGTTCTGAATTGTGTACTCCATTGGATGGTATCAAGGTACGGCTGTCAGGATGAGTGAAGACGAAATTTTGAAACTGGTATGCCCACAAATCCATCATCAGTCTACTCAGTGTTTTATTGTCAATCAGTCAGCCAGTTGCGACGTAGAACTTTGTACGTACGTGTATCAGTCCGAATTGCCATACCACACATTAGCACAGAGACATAATTGTCATTTCAAATACCATGGAAGTAGAGGTAGTAGAATTATTAGTAGTAATCAAGAAGGTGAATGATCTTTTGAGATGTATAGCCCAGAGAAATCGAGTAAACAAACAGAGAAAAAACGATCATGAGGAATTCAGAATATTAGGATTGAAGAGAACACAAAGAATGGATACACCAGACGATTTTGAGCCATGTCGTTCAAGGTCTCTAACCATTGGTGACATTCGTCTCGCGGACCCCAACCAGGTAGCCTACATCTACCAACATGACTCAGTCCACTTGTCAGTGACTTCATGGATTTGTGTCATGTTTTGGTTTGGCCGCCCCTAGCTTTCTTCCAACCTACTCCTACACCACAAAACATAACTCGTCGAGGTAGTCTGGGGTTGAGCATACGTAACATCTGTCCCAACCACCTCAACTGATGAAGTTGTACTACTTCATCTATTGATCTGTCATCCTTACCTAGTACATCCATTTAATAACAACAGAATTGCTTACTCAATAGTCCCGAGATAAACAAGTCATACTTCGTAAACACCTCTGACTCAAAAACCAATAACCTGAGTGAGAAATCACGGCCATGTCGTTCAAGGTCTCTGGTCATCGATTACTATCATCTCACCGGCCCCAACCAGGTAGTCGACACCTACCTTCATGACTCATTCCAGTTGTCAGTGACTGCATCTTTTGATTTGACCACCCACTAGCTTTCTTCCAACCTATTCCTACGCAGTAAAACGTATCTCACCGATCCACTTGGCAGTTGGGCATTCGTAACACATGTCCTAACTACCACAACTGATGGGGTTTCACTGCTTCATTTATTGATCAGCCATATCTACCTAGCATTGCTAACTCGGCTGTCCGAAAGTAAACAGGCAAGAACTCGTAAACACCTCTGACTCAAAAACCAATAACCTGAGTGAAAAATCACGGCGAATCACAATAATAATCGTAATCAGAGTTCATATTGATGGTACTCACTTGATGTATTTCTTGTCTACCTTTATCATCTGTTACACCAAGTATGGCATGATCAAATAGTAGACGTTGTATACATTCTGGTTGTATATCTTCCGAGCAAGCATAATACAATGGAGTTAAATCATGTTTATCACGTACATTTGGATTTTGTCCTAATTCTAAAAATACCTTGATTATCAAGAATAAATAAAAAATACAAACAGAAAAAAAGAAATGAAACAGAATAAATATGAATTAGTTTGTCTAGTTATTAAAATCGTGTTAGGATATTCATTCAATAGCCTAAGAGAATTATTAGTCAATTCCTATTGGTTCATTCCTACTGGTCTGTTTTATGGTCGTCCTTGACATGAATGTCACATACTTCAATGTTGTTTCTTATTGGTTGTCCTGACTATCAATGTCACTTCAAAAGTTGTTTCCTATTGGTCGACTTAACTGTCAATGTAACAGACTTCAAATGTTGTTTCCTATTCGACCTAAATGTATAAATACGCATTATCTGTCACGTTTTATGGACAGGACCCGGATCCCTAGTCCGGGATCCTGATTCTCTTCTGGACTCGGACCTCGTACTTTCTGGATTTCTGTAGAATACATGTTTTACTTCATATCAAATCTTCTTCTTTCACTCAATGGGTTGTTGAGACACTCGGATTTGAGTAGCATATCGTGTCACCGGGTCCTCTCTCTCGCTTTTCCGACTAAGGTAAACTCATTATAATAATCGAAGCATATCAAAATGACATGTTTATGTGCATGCGTTGCACAGTATGGTGCATTGTACATTAGACCGTTGGTCGATAGCTCAGTGGTCAAGAAGTTAGGCATTCTCAAGTCCTCCTGGATTCGACTACCGTGTACAGGAGCCGTAGATGCGCGTCTGTCAATGATGAGTCCGACATACTAGTAGGATAAAAACAGTCGTACATTGCTTCCATGTTTATTAACACATCGGTCAATTCATGATTTCAATGAAATTCCACAATCTTTACAAGTTTATAATGAGAGTTAATTTTATTTTCTAAATTTCACTGACTATCACAGACATTTTGTGATGCAATTGTCAAGTTTTACTAATCAGTTTGGATAATTATTTTCATGTAAATTCTTTTTCAAACTCAAATAAATTAATTCACTTTAATGATTTTGTTTATTACTGGTTGTTTTATTGAAATCATGAATTGATCATTGATAGATAACTGTTTGAAGCCTGGAAGCACTGGACAGCTGTTCTATTTTAGTATGGGACTCATCTACAGTGTGCCTCCATGTCACCTGCTACTCGCGCGGGAATCGAACCCAGCGCCTGGTTCTTTGATCACGTCTCGGTAATATTCACAAATCAGCGTGGTTATGATGATTTTGCTTACAAGTGACAATGTTTACTTCTAAAGACAAAAGTATGTATTGATAATGTCATTATAAGAAGAACAATGAATTTTTCTCTATGGATTTGTCTACCACCGAAAATAGAATTTTATCAAAATCATACTTTTCAGCTATTGGTAGCTTAAAATCTTCCCATCGATCGGTCAGATTTTGCATCTGTCTTTCCAGGGCGGACTGCTCCGATAATGCCGTTGAGCTATAGGCTTTATATAAGCAAAGATAGATGATTGGTAACATTGGCTTTCAAGATTCACGTGATGACCTATTTGAGACTCATCAGCTAGATGTACCTACAGCCTAGAGATGGTGTTCATGTATATGCTGATAGTGCTTGTAACCCTTATGGTAATATCGAAGTTATTGAAATCTTTCTATATGATGATTAAGACTGCGATAGAACCGTCTCGGGTTGCTCGTTACTACTATAAAGTCGTAAGCAATATTAACATAGATGGATGATGGTTAGCAATGGAATCGTGGGCGTATGTGTCGGCCTATTCGGGATTTGCCAGCTGGATGTAACTTCACTCGTAGAGTTTTGTTCACACCTATAATGTTCAAATCGAAACCAGTAGAGCTTGCGACTCGACGGCAAAATCGAGCAGTCTTCACAGGATGTATCTATGTCAAAGCGACCCATAAACTGCATTCCTAAACATCATTGAGAAGAATCAATACAACCAACACAAATGAATTATTCTTTATCCATTTGCGCAAACCACTGGCTATCTGGACTCAGTAGCTTGATAGCGTTTGTAACGAATGGTACAAGGTTCGAGCTCCGCAGTGAATATAAACACTAGGTTGCATGTTTTTTTTCTGGGCTATTGCATACCAAAAATCGACATACGAAGTGGAATGCCCTGTGTCTGCCCGTGACTATATACCAACCCATGGTCCACGGACAGAAGCGCGAGTGGTCAAAGTAGTTGACCTTGTCATGTGGGAAGTAGAGGTACGAGGCTATAGATGGTCACACCATCAGAATCAGGTACACAAACAGCTAGACCCAGATTACCCATCAGCAGTAGTAAATCTTCCCTTTCACATCCTGCTAGATACCTTCAACTTACCGGCACCCCAACCACGAGAAATAGCTGAACAACAATCTCATCCCCGTTCCAGAAAGTGGCATCTCCGACAGAGGCGAACAACAGGCAAAATGCAAGTCGACTCCAGGAACGTACGCTATTACAAAGGGGAGGATTGTTGGGTCTGTTGGATCCCCAGAACTCAATTGAAAAGTTACTAATTTCGCAATTTATTTCTAATATTTCTAAAGCCAAGGGACGGCTGGTTGACCTTCAGCTTACGTTTGCCACTCGGAAAATCCTTGACTATCATTGGCTGATGTGCTATTTTAGTACGCTATTTTGTGGCTCTCACCAAGTCTGTTTCTATCATTGCATAAATAAGCTTGGTTTGTATGCTTAGACACCTCGAATTTTCTAGGTGCTTGTAGAACACGTTCTCTACTCCATATTCAAAACTTCTTGATCTAAATAGCGGAGCTGGGGACAACGGATTAGAATAACCTATCGCATCACTGAGTCATTGCTCTTCGTTTCATTTACCGAGTAAGGTGAACTCGTAATAGTTTGGAGCATATCAAAAATAGAAATCTTGTATAGTAAATAAATTGAGTTAAGAACTAGACATAAAAAATAGTTTATCACACAAGTAGAATTTTACCTCGATCGCTTTTAAATTTCCACAAATTGCAGCTCTATGTAATGCAGTCATTGTATCCGAATCACGATAATCTAAATGTGCACCAGAATCGACAAGTTGTAAAATCATTTCACGTGGTTCAGGTAATTCCGCTGCACAACTTAATGGTATAACTGAAAGTAATCGATGGGAAAAAAAAGTCAATAATATTTATTTTTTTGTTAAATAATGACAGATTATTTCTTAAAGAATATGTGTTCTGTATCAACCAGTGATAGTTGAGTGTGTTAACTGTGCTCACTTAACTTCGGAGTTTCATCAGTGCTGAAAGCCTAGTGTGTGATAGAATTTCAGCATGGATACAGAAGGCCTAAATGGCTTTTGTTCACTTGCGTCCGTCTATGAACCAAAGGAAAAGTTTAATGTGCAACAACAGTTCGCCCTCTTCTACTTTACGCGTGTAAAACATGGGCTTTAAGAATAGAGGATAATCTTCGTTTACTAGATGTCATCAAAGCATTTCTCATGTATATTAAGACCATTGAGTAAGCAATGCTGACGTTAGGAAAAAGGTACTAGGTAAGCGTGGCAGATCAAATGACGAAGTAGCGAACCTTCATCAACCAATTTGGTTGGGACATGTATTATGTATACACAAACACTGTCTACCTCAACAAGCGATGTTGTTTGATGTAGCAGTGTGCTGGAAGGAAGTTAGTGGTGGCCAAACAGAAACACGGCACAAATCCATTGGCTGCTGAATGAGCCATGTTCATAAGTGTAGACTACCTGGTCGGTGTCCGCGAAACAATAGTAACCAATAGTTAGGGACTTTGAATGACATGACTCAAAATCGTTTACAATAGTGCAAATGCATGCATTCTTGATCTTCTCTCAAATTCTAAACTTCTAGATTCCTCGATACCTTTATCTTTCTATTGTAAAATTTATTTCACTGTCCAATTCTTCTTAAATTATATCTTTGAACCCTAATCTTTTCCAAAACTACTAATACTACTACTACTACTACTACTACTACTTCTACTACTATGAGATTTGAACTGAACTGGTGTAGCAAGGTGAACTGATGTACATGCATACCAAGTTCAGTGTTGTAGCTGATGGAAGCATTTTCCCTTCCATTTAATGAGATCTCATTTCAAGCATGTAAAAGTACTAACATCTGTCTACTATGAACAGTTAGTTCATTGTAGAACATCTCAACAAACCGAATGGAACTAAATGTAGATCAAGTGGAAGTTTGGTCTTGGAATAATATCTTCTCAGATAACTGCTTTCTTGTAATTACTACTGAATTAGTCTCCGAAGACATTCTCATGTATCATGGGACAACCGCGTAAGCAATGCTATCGTTAGGACACCAGTACTGGATAGGGATGGCAAATCAATAGATCAAGTGCTGAAACTTCATCAGTTGAGGTGCTTAGGACATGTGTTACGTTTGGCTAACCACCGACTGCCTCGACGAGCTTTGTTTTGTAGTGTAGGAGTAGATTGGAAGAAAGCTAAGGGCGGCCAAACTAAAACATGGCAGCAATCCATGAAGTCACTAACAAGTGAACTGAGTCATGTTAGTTGATGTAGGCTACCTGGTTGGGGTCCGCGACATGAATGTCAAAGATGTTCAGAGACTTTGAACGACATGGCTCAGAATCGTTTGCAATGGCGCAGGTGCATCCACTCTTTGTATTCTATGAAATTTTAAGCTTCTGCATTCCTCATATTCTGCTTCTAAATTTATCTTACTGAATTATACTTCTCGAATCATATCTTCTCTCCCTAATCTTCTCCATTACTGCTATAACTTCTACTATCGCTATCACTCTTGGATTTGAACTGAGAGCTGCATCTCTGTGCTGATGGAGCATGGCAACCTGAACTGATGTACTTACATATGAAGTTCTGTGTTGCATCTGTCTGTCTGTCTATCTACTGAATTATTCAATAAACGGGAAAATGTTCATGCACCCATATATAACAAACATTGTAAAAACAAATGTATCACATGCCATGTGAAATATTCACAAACGATTTCATTTAAAGCACATAGATTTAACGTCAGTTTTATAGCTGTGAAACGATGTTCAACGTACTGCATGAACGATACAGGAATATTGAGAATTCCAGACATTACACACATGCAAGTACAGTGTACAATACTTGTGGTGCCAGCTACTTATAAGTAGTATATGACGTGAGTGTCAACGTAATGTCTGGCAGCAGAAAATGGGGGAAGATCAAGGGAAAGGAAGAGTTAGAACACAATGGAATTTGTATGAAACGCATGAATAATGACAATGGATTGATGTTTTGCAACAGGAACAGTCCAGTTCGATATGATGAACTGATATTTTTCAAATGAACGATTTACGATATGGTTGTCCGATTTTACTGAGTAACTCTGTAATTTTCGTTAAATACAATTCGGTTGCCCCACCTGTGTTCTCATTCACTACATACTCATTCCATTAAAAGATTGGTAAAGTCAAAGAAGGATTTCCGATTCAATACATATATTGTGTTGTTCTAATATATTGAACATTGAAAGGCTAATTTCAATTTTTTTTGAAAAAAAAAATGGACATTCAAACTTTCAAATCTATCAAACACATATATATGAAACAGTAAAAAAACAGTAAAAAGAAACAAATCTAACGTAGGTAGGTAGTAGTAGTTTAGTTTAGTTTTAGTTTTAATTACCTCCATTGGATGGATATTGAAAATTAGGATCTAAACCTTGTGCCAATAAATCAGTCACACGTCCAATATCTTCACGTTTTATAGCAGATAATAAACGTTTTTGATGATGCTTTTTGAATTTTTTTTTATGCAAAGAAATATTAAGAAAAACAGTATTTATTATCAAATTAAATAACTAACTAATAAATGTATATTTTCGCATTTATAATATAGAAATTCACGTGATCGACTGGATTATAGATTTAGCCAATCAGCATTGCAGCTAACAATACGAGAATTTTCTACTCTGTTCTCCAAGAATCGATCAGGCGTTGATTGGATAGGAAATTAGCCAATCAGCGCGCAGCTGACGTAGTTATGCTTTAATTCCGTCTATGTCCCACTAACAGGTAATCATTGTTTTCACATATTGAAATCATGAATGAATCAATCATTGTTAGACCACTATTAGGAACCTTGGAAGCACTAGATGGCCGTTTCGTCCTGCTATGGGACTGTATCATCAGTGACAGTGTGCATCCACAACTCATGTGGCTAGTAGGATTAGTACTCAGAACGTTTGGTCTGACGATGAACCCTCAACCCCTGGAACACAGTTGGCATCCGACAGTGTTCATGTGTAACTCTGATCAATCAATCTTAGGTTAAGCGTTCGCGCATGAGACCGAATCTTGTGAGTAGTAGGAGTCTTGGATGCACAGCGCTGGTGACTCAGTCCCATACCAGGATGAAACTGCTATCCATTGCTTCCAGGTTTGTAGTAATGGTCTAACAATGATTTTTTCTATGTGATAAATGAAATTTTCCAACACATAGTAGTAGTTCAACAAGTTTCTTTTACCAAACAACTAGTGATTGGTTGTTGAAAGTAAGCTGTTCAAGAATCAACGACTTATTAGCGTTGGATCTTTTCTCAAACAGAATTCGAGTTTGAAATGATAAACTGTGCTTATAGTCTCAGCTAGTTCTACCTGTTATTGTTTTGAAAACTATTACTCAGCCTAAATTGTTGATGATTTTATTTCGATTATTTCGTAGAGTGATGTCACCCCTAAAACACTATCTATAATCACACTGAGCCACTGGACCACTGAGCCGTCTTCTAATTGTATTACTACCTAACTTCGACCAAATCACGGAGTTGCGCAGACTCACATACTGTATTCGCGCGCAAGTCTGAAGGTCCTGGGTTCGAATCCTTCGAGATGCAGGAGTCGTGGGTGCACACTGCCAATGAGTCCCATACTGAGACGAAACGGCCGTCTGTTGCTTTTAATAGTGGCCTAACATTGATCGATTCATGATTTCAAATATGTAACTTAACAATCTTCACAACTCCTTAAGGCAGTTGTAATCCTGTTACGCAACAACACTTCATTTCAATTAGTTTGACTGATAATTTTATACTCTACATGTTGAAATCATCACCTATAAAATACGATTGTACAGCCAACTCCTGAAAATGATATCGTCGAAAAGGAAAAACTTTTTTCATTTTTAAAGTCTCGTTTTTATTTTCGATAAACTGTTGGGGATGTTAGATCCCCAGAACTCACTTGATAAAGGTCCTGATTTTGGATTTTATTCATAGGCTGATCAGCTGACCTTGAGATTATTTTTGCCACCAGGATAAACCTTGGCTGTCACTGGTTGATGTATTATTTTAGTACGCTATTTTTGTGGCTCTCCCAAGGACATTTCTATCATTGTATAAATAAGCTTGATTTGTGTGCTTGAGGACTGTTATACTTTCTCGGTGCTAGTAGACTATACTTTCTACACTATATCAAGACTTCTTCTAATTATTGGCGTATTGGGACGCTCGGATTGCAGTAGCCTATCATGTCACTGTATCACTGGTCTTCACTCTCGTTTATCGACTAAGACGAACTCGTAATAGCATTCAAGCATATCAATCTGACGAGTATAACATAAACTATTCATTTGTATAACACTCTGGTTCATATAAACATCATAAATAAATTGACTTCGTAGCAATGAGCTAGTAATTTAAAACGTTTCCATTTCAGAGAATAAGTAACAATTTCAATGATCAATGGCCGATGACATAGGTCTATTCGGTGAAGACGTTGACAAAATGCAGAGTCTTCAGAATACCATAAGCAACAATGCAAGCATGTTCGATATGCGCTTCCCCCCCCCCCGGAAATGCAAAATGTTGCTTCAAGACTGGGTTGCATCGCCAGCTGAACTAGTGATAGGGAGTGAACTAGTTGAGCGTGTTGATCACTTCACTTATCTAGGGAGTGTCATCAGTGCTGATAGCCTGGTGACAGAAGAAATCTCAGCGCGGACGCAGAAGGCTCGATGTGCTTTTGCCGATTTACGCCGTTTATGGCGTAGGCGAGATATCCGTTCGCTAACCAAAGGACGGGTGTACTGCGCAGCAGTTCGTTCCGTTCTCTTATATGGCTGTGAAACATGGCCGTTAAGAGTAGATGTTCTTAGGTCACTAGTATTCGATAATAGATGTCTCAGAAGCATTGCTCGTATATCGCGGGACAACCGTATAAGCAATCCTGTCGTTAGAAAACGAGTACTAGCTAAGGATGGCAAATAAATGGATGAAGTGATGAAACTTCATCAGTTGAGGTGGTTGGGAAATGTGTTACGTATGGCTAAACACCGACTGCCTCGACGAGCTATGTTTTGTGGTGTAGGAGTAGGTTGTAAGAAAGTTAGGAGTGGCCAGACCAAAACATGGCACAAATCCATAAAGTTCTTGACTAGTGGACTGAGTCATGCTGGTAGATGTCAACAACCTGGTTTCGGTCCGCAATACGAAAGTCACCAATGGTTAGAAACCTTGAACGACATGGCTCAGAACCGTTTCAGTTAGTTCAGATGCATCCATTCATTGTGTTCTCTCAAATCCTTATCTTCTGGAATCGTCTGCACCTCTACCTTTGTCTTTCAAACCTTATCTCACTGAATTATACTTCTTGAATAATATCTTCAAACACTAGTCTTCTTCATTATCATTCATACCTCTACTATCTCTACTGTCACTACGGGATTTGATTTGACATTTGCATCTCTATGCTAATGTGTTGGTATGACAACCTAAACTGATGTACATACATACGAAGTTCTACTTTGCAACTGACTGACTCAATGACCAACGAATTAACTTATTTTTCTGAATAAAATAACCATTAACACTTTTATGCTGATAAAAAACAAGTGAACATGTTCATTGTGACACATGTGAAATGCTGAAAGTTATTCGCTCACTTACTTTTGAATGAATTCGTTTCGTGATAGTTTTTATACCATCCTGACGATATTCTTCAACAAAACGAATTTTTGGTAAAAGCTGTCAATGACACAAAAAAAAACACAACAACTTTATCAAAATTTAAACAAACTCATTATTGAAATATTAGTGATATCATGAAATGATAACGCCATATCATCGTTAGAAACCTGGAAATATTGGATGATCGTTTGGTTCTAGTGTGGGACTTATCAGTGGCAGCGGGGATCTACGACCTCTGGTCATGTGAATCGAATCTAGGAATTTCGGTGTTTGCTTACAGATTTCTAATGATGGTCTAACAATGATCGATTCATCGTTTTAATGAAAACTCAACTGTCTTGACAACTCCGCCAGTAGAACCTTCGGGGCTACTGCCGGTCCCAAGCCCGGGTAAAGGAGGAGGGTTGGACATGGGGTTGGCGACCCCATCCCGTCAAAAACTAACTTGCCAAAAAAAACGCTAACCAGAAAAAATAATTCAAACCATTTTAACTCTGCCCTGGGCGTTGAAAGAAGAATTACGACGTCTCGTGATGAAAGCCGGGTTTTCACGGAATCACGAGGCCGATGCCTTTTCTGACAACCAGAGCAACCATTCTTTTAGGTACATGGAACGTTCGTACATTGTGGGAGACTGGAAGACTATTTCAAGTTGCGGCAGAAATGAAAAGATACAACCTCGAGGTGCTCGGCATCAGTGAAACGCATTGGACACAAGTAGGACAACTGAGACTAGCTTCAGGGGAACTGCTGTTATACTCTAGTCATGAAGAGGAACCTGCTTCACATACACAAGGAGTTGCACTGATGCTGTCCAAACATGCACAAAAGGCACTGATAGGATGGGAATCTCACGGACCCAGGATCATTAAAGCATCCTTCAAAACAAAGAAAGAGGACATTACAATGAACGTCATCTAATGTTATGCACCTACCAATGACTACAATGACGATGTTAAAGATCAATTCTACGAAAGGCTGCAGTCAATCGTCGAGAAATGTTCACCAAAGGATTTGACGATTCTTATGGGAGACCTGAATGCTAAGGTTGGCATGGACAACACTGGATATGAACACATCATGGGACGACATGGAGTGGGAGAAAGAAACGAAAATGGTGAGAGATTCTCAAACCTATGTGCCTTCAACAAACTGGTCATCGGTTGCACAATATTCATGCACAAACGCATAAACAAAGCCACGTGGATTTCACCGGATCGCACTAATCAAATGCAGATCGATCATATCTGTATCAACAAAAGGTTCAGAAGATCTTTGGAGAATGTGCGAACCAAGAGAGTAGCTGATATAGCCTCAGACCACCGTTTGCTGATCGCCAAAATGAAACTGAAGCTAAAGAAGCACTGGACAACGGGGCAGACAACATCACAGAAGTTTAATACGGCCTTTCTTCGGGATACTGTAAAACTCAACGAATTCAAGGTAGCCCTCACCAATAGGTTCCAGGCCTTTCAGGATCTACTCAATGGAGAGGAAGCAACATTGGAGAACAATTGGAAAGGGATTAAGGAGGCAATCACTTCAACATGTCAGGAGTTCCTTGGTCGCAAGAAGCACCATCACAAGGAATGGATCTCTGTTGATACTCTTGCAAAAATTGAAGAAAGGAGGGACAAGAAGGCAGCAATTAATGTCAGCCGAACAAGAGCAGAGAAAGTTAAGGCACAAGCTGAATACACGGAAGCAAACAGGGAAGTGAAGAAGAGCATCAGAGCTGACAAACGAAAATATGTGGAAGATCTAGCAATGACGGCGGAAAAGGCTGCAAGAGAAGGAAACATGAGACAATTGTACGAAACAACAAAGAAGCTCGCCGGGAACTATCGTAAACCAGAACGACCAGTGAAAGCAAGGAAGGCAAAGTAATCAGCAACACTGACGAACAGCGAAATAGGTGGGTAGAGCACTTTAAGGAACTATTGAATCGACCAGCTCCACTGAACACACCCAACATCGAAGCAGCATCCAAGGACCTCCCAATTAATATTGGCGCACCTACGATTGAGGAGATCAGTATGGCCATCAGACAAATCAAGAGCGGCAAAACAGCAGGACCAGACAACATTCCAGCAGAGGCAATCAAACCGGATGTGGAAGCAACTGCAAAAATATTTCACATCCTCTTCAAGAAGATTTGGGATGAGGAACAAGTACCATCAGATTGGAAAGAAGGATACCTGATCAAAATACCAAAGAAAGGCGACCTCAGCAAGTGTGAGAACTACAGAGGCATCACTCTTCTTTCAATACCAGGCAAAGTCTTCAACAGAGTATTGTTAAACAGAATGAAGGACTTCGTAGACGCCCAACTTCGAGATCAACAGGCCGGATTTCGTAAGGATCGATCGTGTACTGACCAAATTGCTACATTACGGATCATTGTGGAACAATCAATCAATTGAATGGAACTCACCACTCTACATCAACTTCATCGACTACGAGAAAGCATTTGATAGCGTGGATAGGAAAACACTGTGGAGGCTTCTTCGACACTACGGTGTGCCTGAGAAAATAGTCAACATCATACGGAATTCTTATGATGGATTCAACTGCAAAATCGTGCACGGAGGTCAGCTGACAGACTCTTTTGAGGTGAAGACCGGTGTCAGGCAAGGTTGCTTACTCTCATCCTTTCTCTTTCTCCTGGTCATCCGGCTGGATTATGAAGACGTCAACATCTGGAGGGAAGCACGGTATCAACTGGACAGTTAGGACGCAGCTGGACGATCTGGACTTCGCAGATGACCTGGCTCTTCTATCGCACACTCAACAACAAATGCAAGAGAAGACGACCAGTGTAGCAGCAGCTTCTGCAGCAGTAGGTCTCAACATAAATAAAGGAAAAAGCAAAGTTCTCCGATGCAACACAACATGCACCAACCAAATCACTCTTGATGGAGATGCTTTCGAGGACGTTAACAACTTTACATATCTGGGCAGCATCATCGACGAGAAAGGTGGATCGGACGCAGATGTGAGGACGCGGATTGGCAAAGCGAGGGCTGCATTTCTACAGTTGAAAAATATCTGCAACTCCAAACAAATATCAATCAACACCAAAATCAGGATTTTCAATACAAATGTCAAGACAGTCCTACTGTATGGAGCGGAAACATGGAGAACTACCAAAGCCATCATTCAGAAGATACAAGTGTTTATTAACAGTTGTCTACGCAAAATACTTCGTATTCGTTGGCCAGACACCATCAGCAACAACGAACTGTGGGAGAGAACAAGTCAGATTCCAGTAGAGGAGGAAATCAGGAAGAAGCGGTGGAAGTGGATAGGACATACACTACGAAAAGCACCTAACTGCGTCACGAGACAAGCCCTCACATGGAACCCTCAAGGCAAAAGGAAAAGAGGAATGCCAAGGAACACACTACGCCGAGAAATAGAGAAAGATATGAGAGGAATGAACAAACATTGGACAGAACTGGAGAGGGAAGCCCAGGACAGAGTTGGTTGGAGAAAACTGGTGAGTGGACTATGCTCCATTGGGAGTAACAGGCGTAAGTAAGTAAGTAAGCAACTGTCTTGACAACTTTCTTATATTAGCTAGTTTGAGTAGTTGAGAAAACTGACACGTAAAACTACGCCTGGTGCACTTCTATAGCTATTATATATCTTAAGCTCATATAAAGATGGGTTACGCATGTGGTAAGTGACCCCATCCTGTAGAAAACAAACTTTTTTAAAAATGCTATACAGAACAAACAAGTCAAAACATCTGAACTCTGACGTGGGAGTCGGAAGGTCTTCATTTTGACCGTTTATGACGAACTTCTTTTGGAAATCATGAGGCTAGCGCCCTTTCTCACAAACAGAGCAACGATCGATATAAGTAAATGGAATGTTCGTGTAGTCTATAAACCTGGAGGAACTATTCAAGATGCTGCCGAAATAAAAATATACACCTTGGTGGTGCTTGGAATTAGTGGAACATATTGAACGCAGGCAGGAAAAAATAACATCAGCTTCAGGAGAAATGCTTTTGTATTCCGGCTATGAAGATAAATATGCCTCGCATAAATAAGGAGTTGAACTGATATAGTCCAACTAGTAAAAATATACCGATGCTAACGCACAAATATGAAATTCTTGCAGTTTATGTCAATGATTGGATCTAACTATTACCAAGAGACTCAGTTGGTGGCTTAAAAGATGCCAACGACAGTTCTATTTGGTACGAAGTCTTCTGATCATTTTAGGTGAAAATTCAAGCATGTTTGGGATACGAATCTTCCCATCGAAATGCTAAATGTAGCTTTTGAATATTCCAATTGTGAAAATTAGAACAACACATATAAGCGAACAATATTGTTTTCGATTAGATCGTCATCAGGCTTTACTCTAATATACATGAATATTTATATGAAAATGTTAAACCAATCAAGGCAATTTGAGTGATAATCACAATGAAATGAAAAAGGCAAAAGTACAAGTGGATAGTAGGAAGATAGGTGAACCGATAGTAGTAGGACAATTTATAAAATATGATAACTAAAGTAGGTCAAGGGTGGATGAATAGAAATCAAATAATCATCAAAAACATCAAAAACATTACGGAATAAGCAGATGTGTAAAAATAATAAAAATAATAAAATTAAATTAAAATAAATAAAATATATATATAATGTCAATCGTTAGTTACGTCATATCCGGCCACGGAAGAGATAGGGGTGTCACGAATTTTTTCTGAACACATAAATTAGGGTTGAATGTGCGTATTCCTATGGCTTCTGCAATGTGTAGGAGACGGGATCGAACTCCGTTCGGAGTTGGGACATGAATAAAGTGACTTGGCGTGTTGACCACCTCATTTAACTTGGGAGTCTGTCGCATCAGTGCTTAAGACCTGGTGACTGACTAGCATTCGGTACGTATACAGAAGGCGTGCCTGGCTTTTGTCGACTTGAGTCACTTAAGGCGTAAGCAAGATAACAGTTTACTAATCAAAACAAGAGTATACTGTGTAGCAGTTCACTCCATTCTACTAAACGAATGTGAAACAAGGCTATTAAGAATGGAACATGTTTACAAGTGTCTTCGAACAAATTGCTCGTATATTGTTAGGATATTCATCAAATATCCTAAGAGAATTATTTTGTAAGTCTCATCCTATTGGTCAATTCCTATTGGTTAATTACTATTGATTGTCCTAACTATCAATGTCACATACTTCAAATGTTGTTTCCTATTCAACCTAACTGTATAAATATGCATTATCTGTAATGTTTTACGATCCGGATCCTTAGCCTCTACTGAACTCGGACGTCATATTTCCTGGGTGTTTGTAGAATACATGTTCTACTTCATATCAAGACTTCTTCTTCTTCTTCTACATAATAGGGGTTTGGGACTCTCGGATTAGAGTAGCCTGTCATATCGCTGGATTATCGATCCTCTCTCTCGTCTTACCGACTCAGGTGAACTCGTAACGTAGTGAACGACAACACAGGTGGGGCAACCGGATTGTATTTATCGAAAATTACAGAGTTACTCAGTAAAATTGGAAAACCATATCGTAAATCGTTCATTTGCAAAATATCAGTTCATCATATCGAACTGGACTGTTCCTGTTGCAAAACATCAACAATCCATTGTCACTACTATTCATGCGCTTCATACAAATTCCTTTGTGTTCTTCCAACTCTTCCTTTCTTGATCTTTTCCCATCTTCTGCTGCCAGACATTACGTTGACACTCACGTCATATACTACTACTTATAAGTAGCTCACACCACAGTAATAGTTTCAAGCATATCAGTTGACGGGTTGACCTACATACGAAGCATAGTCCAACTACTTATAAAGCTTATCAGTAGCATGTTTATCAAACCAAATCTCAAAGAAAAAGTTTTAAACAACTGATTGATTTACCTCTAAAACCACTGGTTCTTTTGACTTTCTCTCATTATTATTATTATTATTATTATTGTTATTCAATAATCCATTTGACTGATGATGATCATGATTTTTCTCATTCCCCATAAATAACTCTTCATTCTGATGATGTTGATGAGGAGGAGCAAGTGGATTTTCCAATTTAATTGCAACTAATTGTGGATATTCGGAGATGATACGTTCATCTTGGAGAAATTTGCCTTTCTTTCCACTATTATCCGGTGGCAAATATAAACCATAATTAATAAAATCTAATTCTTTCAAATTATATGTTTCAATAGCTTGTTTTCTTAATTCACCAATTAAAATATCAGTACGAACTTTGAAAATATACTGAAATGGAAGAAAAAATATTTGGAATGAAATTAGAAGTGATGTTATTGATTTTTTATTGGGAAAAATAAATGAAACAGTATATGGATTGGTCAGTGTTGAAAACTAGAGGGGACTGTTTAGTTCTTAGTTCTATAAAATTCACCGGCAATGCTTAGTCACGAACCGAGGAACTTCAGATTCGCTTACGTGTTTTCAATAGTAATCAAACAGTGATGTATTTACTATCTTGATGAAATTCAACGTACTGCATAACCCTAAAGAAGTGAAGATTATGAGGTATTCATCATTGTGGTGGTGTTTCGTTCGCTGAGCTGGTTGTTTTGGTTGTGAAGCTTTCATTGTTCTTCAGCTGAACAACAACATTATCAGCACAAACTTCAGATAGATGAAGTGAAGTATTCGAATTTCTCCACGTTTGACCTGTAGCTTGCTCTGTTAACCTCGATCTTGATTGGTGAAAAACACGAATCAAACAACAGCCGATCATTCCGGGATGTACTAATCACCACAACTAACACAGGAAAGCTAGACACTCAAGTCTTTCGGAAGCCATCCCACGGCGCCGTAATTCTCAACTACGACAGCAACAACCCAAGAACCCACAAGATCAACTGCATACATACTTTGTTCAGGAGAGCGAAGACACACTGCAGAACATACGAAGCATTAAAAAACGAGGAAAAACACCTGATGACTACTATCTTCCAAAAGAACGGCTATCCACGCAACTTCATCAAAAACATCAACCAAAACCATCATCAGAAGTGAAATCAAGCACAGAAACAAATAAACGCATCATCCTACCATACATAAAAGATATATCGGAGCATACAGAACGTATACTGAAACCATTTAGAATAGGTGTAGCACACAAACCAACACAGAACCACTTCAATCAATCCCGTATGTAGACCAAAGGACATAATGACAAAGTGAGAAAAACCAGATATCATCTACAAAATAAACAACTGCTCAGATTGTGAAAAACACTACGTAGGACAAAGTGGACAGCGTCTTCAGTTTCGTTTACGATAACATCGATTAGCAGTCAAATGCCACGACAACGCTTCACTTATGTCAATACAAAACGACAATTATGGACACATATTCGATTGGGACAGTGTGGAAATACTGGATAGGGGGAGGACAAAGAACACTTGGGAATTTTTAGAAGCTTGACACTCAGGTCAACCAGCAATCAACAAACACATCGACATTGACTCAATTTATCAACCAATCAGCAAAATCATAGGTGATATAGGATCACGAAACAGTTCAAAACGGGATACAATCAAAACAAATGTGCAAACAACGACAGATTTAAGGTCAACAGCAACTAATCAAGATCGAGGTTAACAGAACAAGCTACAGGTCAAACGTGGAGAAATTCGAATACTTCACTTCGTCTATCTGAAGTTTGTGCTGATGATGTCGTTGTTCAAAAAAAGAACAATGAAAGCTCCACAACCAAAACAACCAGCTCAGAGAACGAAACACCACCACAATCATCAACCTGAGCTACAAGTATTCATCATTAACTAGATTCAGGATCAATTTTTAGGGTTCTAGTGAGAAGCCGTGATCAACGGAGTTCATTCATGTTGGATCTGATGTAGTTAACCATCAATCAACCCAAAATATCACGTGACCTCATTTAGTGTGAACATTACTACAACTGGATATCAGCTTAGTATCTACGGTTTTGCTTATGAGTTGTTAATAGTGATCAAACATTGATGTGTTTAGGATCTTGATGAAATTCAACGATCTATACAATCGAAAAGATGAAGAATATCAAGCATACGTCAGTGAATAGCTTCAATAATGAATTTGTAGGGTTCTATTGAGAAGCCGTGATCAGCGGAGTTCATTCATGTCGGATGTGATGCAGTTAACCATCAATCAACCCAAGATATTACATGACCTCATTCAGTGTGCACATTACCACAATTGGTTGCCAACTTAGTGGTCTTGAGGTTAAACATTTCGGCGCAAGACTCAAGATCTAGGTTTCATGAATGAGCAATACTAAAGAATCTCACAATAGGAGGTAAGGTTTTCAATGTATTTTGGCAATATTTACTATTCAGTACTTTAAGTTATATAGATGTTAGATACTGGCCGGATGTTGCTTTGAAACATTCCTCATATATCCTGAGATTATCGAGTAAGCGAAACTGCTATAAGAAAACGCGTGCTAAGCCATGATGACAGATCAATCGAAGAAGTAGTGAGGTTTTGTCATTTGAGGTAGTTGGGGCATGTGTTACAAATGCCTAACCACTGACCGCTTCGGCTAGCTACGTTTTGCGTTGTAGGGGTAGGCTGTAAGAAATCTAGGGAAAGCCAAAACAAAACATGGCACAAATGAATGTAGTCACAGACAACTGAACTGAGTCATGTTGGTAAGTACAAAATACCTGGTTGTGGTCCACGAAACAATATTAATCGATGGTTAGAGACTTTGAATGACATGGCTGAAAATCGTTTGCAGTGCTGCAGGTGCATCCATTCTTCGACTTCTCTTAAATTCTAATCTTCTGAATTCCTCGTCACCTCTATCTTTCTCTTCTTAAATTTATTTCACTAGATTATACTCCTTAAATAACTTATTCGAACTCCAAGCTTTCCAGTTATCGCTAATTCTCATACTACCTCTAAAACGATGGTACTTGGATTGACAGTTCGATCTCTCGGGGCTAATGTGGTATGGCAACTTGAACTGATGCACGTACGTACTAAGTTCTATGTTGTTTCTGACTGACTCACTGTTGTAGATTGATGCTAATCTCGGTAATTTTAATCAATATCAACTAGCTGTATATGTTTGTAAAAATTTCCCTACTAGATCACTCTACAATTTAATATGCAAACATTTCATCTTATTTTTGAAAATATCAAGTTTTCTTCTTCCAGTTATGTATAAAGTCATCTATAACAGACTGCTCAATCACTATTCTGTTCTCACGGATTTATATTTATGTACACTTGGTTCAGAGGATAATTATCGTTCAATGCTGTTTTAAATCAGTTTATCTCTTCGCATATATATGTATATGGATAGAATATTCGGTGTAAATAAAAATCAATTGGTTTTAAGAAGAAAACGGATTTTGAGATGGTAGAGAAAATTTATAGTTCAGATAGATAATTGTGGAGGTGTTTTGTTCTCTGAGCTGGGAATGTTTTGGTTGTGAAGCTTTCACTGTTCTTCTGCTGAACAACAACATTATCAGCACAAACTTCAGATAGATGAAGTGAAGTATTCGAATTTCTCTACGTTTGACCTGTAGCTTGTTCTGTTAACCTCAATCTTGATGGGTTGCTGTTGACATTAAACCTGTTGTTGTTTGCAAGAAACAGATCAATTAGGGGGATACAATCAAAACAAAGCTGCAAACAACGACAGGTTTAGGGTCAACAGAAACCCATCAAGATTGAGGTCAACAAAACAAGCTACGAGTCATGAGTGTGGACAGTACTTCTAATACTTCAGTTCTTCTATCTGAAGTTTGTGCTGATAGTGTTGTGTCAGCAGAAGAACCGTGAAAGTACCGCAACTAGTACATCTAGCCCAGGCAACAAAACACCTCCACAAGAAAACGGATTGTTCTACTTGCATGGATTTGAACTCAGCTAAGTTTTCGCGGATCGACAAATAAACGCATGTGATTGTATCTAAAAAATTTTAATTTAGTAAACAAATAGATTATTACTTCAATCAAAAGTGACTAGCCAGAGAACATTGAAGTAATCTATCGTTTACACCAAGAAATCTCCTTAACTTGACAATACAACCATTGTGTCATTTATTAGTTCAAACCCAAACATACACACTCACACACACACACACAAGGCATTTAGCCGAGGATTTTCCAGCCTCGTGGTTTGTGCACATAGTATTCAGAATATTATTCAGTTAAATTTCGCGAACGTATATTACATTTGAAACATTTGAGCAGTTATTACACTGATATCGACTGCTACTGTTATTATCGAACATCTTAAATGTCAGCTGTTCGCGTGTTATTTTGTATTTAACAAGAAGATAATTTTCAATGTTTGAAAATGGATCAATCCTCGGCAATGTCAAGCTATTTTTATTTGAAATATATCGTCTACTTATTAGTAGGTAAAAATTTTGCTTTAATTTTTATCGGGGCAGACATGAGATTTAGCGGTAAAAATAATCGTGAACTAAAATTTGTGATTGAGTGAGCACCTGTATTTAAGCCTAACGTTACTTTATTTATTGATTTGGTTGTCTATATTTAACTAAATAACTAAATAAGCATCAAACTAGACGCATAATCACTGCAATGATTCATTTATAACCCTTATTATTCAGTATACATAATGAATGTTTCGAATATTTGAAGACAATTGGGTGAGGTTGCATGAAATCTATAGATTCATCAGATTTAGAAATTAACACCGCTGAATGTTGGCTCAGTGTCCTAGAGGCTAGGAGTTTGAGCACAATACCCGAAGGTCCTGAGTTCGAATCTTGCGTGTGGATGTGCACGGCTGATGAGTCCCATGGCAGGACGAAATGACCATCGAGTTCTCTCAGGTTTCAAGTAGTGGTTCAACAGTGATCGATTCATGATTTAGATAATAGTTAATATTATGAAAATCCTCGGAATTATACCATCTTATGACAACTGATTTGTTCATCACAATGTCTGAGTTGGTATTCCGAACTCATCGTTAAGAAATCCAATACGACAGACAATACAACTGTCTAATGGTTCATGGTTTACAATGAATGCAATGAACGCGAACCAAGGAAAAGCTTATAATTAAGTAAAATTAATTATCACAATGAGAAAAATACTGAAGGACATTTCAGACGCTAAAGGTCAAGGACAAAGCTACCGAAATAAGTAGGTAATTGAAGATAATTGTAGATAATAAGAGAGGCTTGTACAAAGTGATTACGTAATAATAATAATCATGAAATAAGCGAAATAAGCGGTACTTTCTGAAGAATTATT